CAAGTAATAGACTCAAGCACTTTGTGAAAACAGGTAAGACTCATAAAAAGAATACAGGAAGAAAGCAAAGATATAAATAGCTTGATGGCTTTGTGACATGCATCGGGCGGTAGAAAAGCACCAGCCAATCTGTGATTCTGCTGACTGTGTAGGATCGCGATGATGACAATCTATGATTTTTGACACACAACACACCATGATGATATTTTCAGGGGAGACAAATGGGGTTGTGGGTGGGGGAGGGGGGGGGGGGGAGCATTGGACAATGTTTTCACTGAAAAGAGGGCTATTGGCCCATCAAATTTGGGAAACACTGCTCTGGACTTTTTTCTGGTTTCCAATGTCAGATTTTGAAGAGGTCTTGGGAGCCAACCCCTTTATTTGTGCTACACAGATGCTGGTATTCACAGCCTTGGATATTCCATGTATCCATCACTTGCATGGGCAGCCTCATGCTCTGCTTCTATCGTGTCTAAGTGAAAGGGCTCTCTGTAGATTACTATCCTGTGGTAGTCTTGATGCATTGCCGAACCATTTGAGTCGTCTCTTCATGTAGTTTGGCACTGGTTCTATACCAACTTGTTTCCTGATAATTGTCTATGATGAATCCTAAATGTAACAAGAAGAGACAACAGGAAATGGTATTTCATTTCACGAAAAGAATGTTGCTCATTGCTTGAAATGGGAGTCGCTGTGGCCGAGCGGCTAGACGCTCGTCGCGGATCAGAAGGTCGTGGCTTGGCTCCCCCGGCGGAGCTGGACTTTTTACAAAAATGACCTTGGTTTTTAGGTCGACCCAGCCTTGAGTGGGTACCAGGTGCAGTCCTGAGAAGTAAAGGCGGTTGGCGTGATGCATCACCCATCTTGTGCCGATTGGTCTATAAAAATGTAGGTCTAGCCCTATATGCCCTAGAGCCTAAGGGCATGGAAAATGGTTTTTTACTTTTAATTGCTTAAATTAAAACACTCATAGTTTGATGAAACACATTCTGGAAACAACAAAACTCAAACATAGTATTGTTTAAAAATACCTTTATTACAATAAGAATTTAGCAGATACAGTTTTCACTGAAATTCCAGATTAGGAATTATAAACTACATAACAATGATTGTTACACAAAACTCCATAAAGCTTACTTGAAATATGCCAGCCACAACAGAATACATTTTGATCTCAGTTTGATTAAGCATTTGTCAGATTGATGGAAATAAATTTGTTCACAATCAAATTAGGTTCTTGGGTTGGAGTCCTATCTGTTACATGTTGGCACGACAAGAACAAGTTCAGTTTATAAATGCAGCATATAACTGATAAACTATTTTAAAAAAAACAAAAACAAATGATTGAAAAATGTCCAGTACAACTAGCATTTTTAATTACCAAATACGGAGTCTCCTCGACTTACAACTCAGTTCTGACTAACAGGTCAAAATTCAAACTATTTTTCAAGTATTCTCCTTTCATCGAGTTTTAAAAACTGTACATAAGACACACAAAATTCAGTCTATGGATGTATAATTATTGTACATAATGTGAAAAATATAATAATACTCTATTGCATCCGTTCCAGGGAACTTTTTACCCTACCAATGTAGTTATCTTTCTTTATTTACAACTTTTATTTATTTAATGTTTTTGGTTTTTTTTTGTGTGTTAATAAGTGCGGATGTTCATAATTCGAAAAAGTCGTAAGTCGAGGAGAAGGTGCATCTGTTTCCATTTGAATTCTGATGAGAAAATACACAACTAAAACTAAAATTTACAGTAAGTAAACTAAAGTTCAAACTGTTTCTTTATATTTTAAATCTGATAGTGAGAAAATATAGTTCCAGAACAAACATTAATTAGAAGAAAATAGAAGTTCTGAATTTCTCTTCCCATTTGAAATCTTATAAGAACAGGAAGTAATACTGTAAGAAGTTTTACCAAGAAAAAAGTCCCCAAAATTGGTTTTGTGGAGAAACAGATTATGTAATGAAGTCTTTTTAGAAAAACAAAAAAGAGATAAAATAAAAAGAAAGACAACATCAAGTGTATGTGTTAGTACTACCATTTATGCACATGTTAATTTTAACTGTGTATTTTTATTTTTAAACACAACTTTAGAATCAATGTGTATACACAAATTTATGCAGACATTCAGTATTTGCTTATAGTTTCAACTTAACGCTTCATTATTCTTATGTCATGATCCTTCAGTAGTTTGTGGCAATCAATGTAGTCAGTTTCCTGACAAAAGCCCAACGTATGCACATACTTGTTGTCTGTATCGATATCCCAGTACATTGTTCTGACCCCTTCCTGCGATGCAGCAGCCATCTCAGAGTCTCCTTGCTTAACGTACCCCATAGGAGTTGACTGCTATATCTTCTTTCTGTGTCCCATAACCGATTTCTACATGCTTGTCCTCATTTACCACCCATTTCTCACAGGCAGGTCATCACCTCTGACTCTTTTGTCTCAATGTCTCTGGAACACATCGCATTCAAATGTTTGGCCAGTCCATCCTTTTTCCAACTAGTGCAGAAACGGCCGTGTGCCTACACTTGTAGCTACCACGATGTATAACATTTTATACTGTGATTATAATAAGTTACTTATTTAATTCAAAAGAGTTAGGTTTTATTAACAATTATTTTATTCCCATTTGTGTATAAAATATAAATGTTAGAAAAGTAAAGCACCATTTTCTCCCCATAGATGCATCAAGGATATGGTGCCAGACTAATACTGGTATAGACTAGTTTGCACTTTATGGATGATGCGGTCAAAATCACAATGGCCGCATATGCGCTTAAATTTTACCTGGTACTCATTTATTGTTACATAAAATATGTTTCAGAGTATTTTAAACTATTTTTTTTAAAATTTATACTAGTTATTTTACCTAACAATTTCTTTCCAGGCAAATAGCATGCTTTCGATAACAGCTGTTTATTCTTACAAAAAACATAATGTCAATTTCTGAAAGGTTTCACTAAATGTTACCAAAAACCTATCATGTTAAAATAAAGCTGTGCTGAAACAAACAACTGGGTGATTTCACTCTTTTAATGTGAATTATGTGTATGTATTTTGTTTCTGTCTTCAGATCGTGCATAGGAACACACAACTAAACTCACTTCATCTGAAAGCTTTACCACGAAAAGCTCACGAAAATGACAGAAACAAAATGTGAACAGCAATCAATGTAGTCATTATTGATGAAAACTGTCCAAAGTTGATCTGATTTCAGCTGCATGAATAAGAGTTAACTAAGTAAAAACTGTAAATTATTCTTGCTCTCAGAAGTAGGAAATAACTGATAATTTCTTTCTATTTTGTATGTTTTTATTTTTTTTTATTTTTTATGTTTCCCTCCATTGTCATCTTTCTTCTTCTTTTGTTGATATCTGCTTTGTGTCATCAGCTGTCACAGTTTCACTTATAATAGGTGGCCGATGAAAGGCGCACTTGTTTGTGTGGTATGCTCTGATGTTGTATCAAGTCTTATGATGTCAGTGACTTCTTCAACCCATCTTCTAGATCAGTCTGCCTCAATGTGTTTCCATTTTCATGTTGCACATTCTCACTGCCAGCGAGATGAATTCATAATCATTAGGAGGCCGTACCATTTGAGTCCTTGTTTTCCAGTGAATTTAACAATTGGTATTGTTCTAATAGTTCACAAGTCAATTATAAACATCCACCAATATGCAGGTTCTAATCTAAGATCTTTGATCAGGCATGCAAGCATTTAGCTACTGCACTTTCATGGCTCCTGAATATGTTAACAACTAAGGAAAATTTACAAAATTAAACAGCTTCTTTTTATGCATTTGTCCTTAAATAGATGGCTGGCATGTTGTATTGTGGTTTACAGCTAGGGTGCAATATCGGCACCTTTTTCTTGCCTAGCAAATCTCTAATTATCGCTTTTTATATAACATTTTTAGAGGGAAAGTGGGTCTATTGATTTTTTTCCTAAAGGGAGGCTCCAAACCCACATGGAGAAACCTAGCTCATTTCATAAATAAAATTTAAATATGTTTTTAAAATAACATATAGTGTGTGTATGCTTTCTTTACAAATAAAATGAATGGAGGGAAAAAAAAGAAAGAAAATTTATGAACATAATAAATGCTAAATTAAAGACGCAGAAAACAGAACAATTTGAGCAGCGTGACATATCCAATGGCATCTCTAGTTGAGAGTATGTAACGCAATGGCTAACGCCTATGGCGACTAGGTCATGACACGAGTCAGCTTTGAGAACTTTTAAGACACAATTCACCAGGTATAACCCTGGATACAGATTATTCACATCAGACGTCTGTACAAAAAAAAAAATGCTTATATGTTAAAGAAGCATTCAAACTCGCATCCATCAAGCACACATATCAAACATGAAACTGGTTAAGAATGAATAAGAAAAATATACATATATATATGTGTGTAAGTGTATATATACTTTTATTACCTATATTAACACAATTACTTAGGCACAAATGGAAACTGGAAAACATTTGTTTTGCTAGTGCAGAGTGAGAGAGAGGGAGAGAGAGAGAGAGGGGGAGAGAGAAAAGACTTTTTAATGAAAAAACTAAAAACACCAGGTAAGCTCTTCATGTATTAAAACAACATTATTTCAAAAACTGTGAATAAAGAAATTAATATGGCATCCAATACTGTATACTAAAACTGATATTAAACAGGTTACATTAATTAAATGTGTCTACCAAAAGTTTCAAACTACTAGACGTAAATTTGCCTAAAAAAACCACAACAGCCCAAACATATGCTGAGGTTGGTTCTGCAACGTCCTGCAAAGGATACATAATTAAGTTTTTTTAACCAAAGATATAAAAAAATGTAAAGGGACAAGTATAAACTAAATGGATAGAATATACATTTACCTCAATGATAATGAATCATGAACAACCAGTTGTATTAAATACCATTGTAGAGATACAATATGAAAAAGTAATAACTACTTCAGATAATATGTATGAATACCCTTTCACACATTCTTAATACAAACGCTGCATCTACTGACTCGAGTTCTTAACGTGCCAGCCTTCAATGTTTGGCTAACTGGTACAGTGAACTGTTCAAATTCTTCAACCGTAGACAGCCAGAAGCTGAGTTTATTGGCAAAGTAGTGGCAAGTGCCTCGAGCACCGTTGCACTCAATGAACGGTGTTGCACGGAAGTCCTCTAGGCAACTGCCAGGGCTGGACAATGATTGGCCTCCACCACCTGGCCCTGCGGCTGTGTGCTGTAACAGAAAAATGTAGGAGTGAGAATCAGTTCCGTAATAGAATAATGAAAGAGTGAAAATCAGGTTCAGTAACAGAAAATGTAGGAGTGAGAATCAAGTTCTGTAACAGAAAAATGTAGGAGTGAGAATCAGGTTCTGTAACAAAAAAATGTAGGAGCGAGAATCATGTTTTGTAACTGAAAATATACGAGCAAGAATGAGGTTCTGTAAAAGAAAAATGAAGGAGAATCAAGTTCTGTAACAGAAAAATGTAGGAGTGAGAATCAGGTTCTGTACCAAAAAAATGTACAAGCGAGAATCATGTTCTGTAACAGAAAATTGTAAGAGTGAGAATCGCGTTCTGTAACAGAAAAATGTAGGAGCGAGAATCAGGATCTGTAACAGAAAAATGTAGGAGCGAGAATCAGGTTCTGTAAAAGAAAATTGAAGGAGCAAGAATCATGTTCTGTAACAAATAAATGTAGGAGCGAGAATCATGTTTTGTAACAGAAAATGTACGAGCGAGAATCATGTTCTGTAACAGAAAAATGTAGGAGAATCAGGTTCTGTAACAAAAAAATGTAGGAGCAAGAATCATGTTCTGTAACAAAAAAATGTAGAAGTGAGAATCATGTTTTGTAACAGAAAATGTACGAGCGAGAATCAGGTACTGTAAAAGAAAAATGAAGGAGTGAAAATCATGTTCTGTAACAGAAAAATGTAGGAGAGAGAATCATGTTTTGTAACTGAAAATATACGAGCAAGAACCAGGTTCTGTAAAAGAAAAATGAAGGAGAATCAGGTTCTGTAACAGAAAAATGTAGGAGTGAGAATCAGGTTCTGTAACAGAAAAATGTAGGAGCGAGAATCAGGTTCTGTAACAGAAAAATGAAGGAGTGAGAATCAGTTTATGTGAAATGGGATGTTTTAGTGTGCTTAAAAAAATGTATGGACAAGAATCAGGTTATGTGAAATGGGATGTGTTAGTGTGCTGAAACAGAAAAATGCAGGGATGAGAATCCAGTTATTTCAGATTAGATGTTTTAGTGTGCTTTAACAAGATAAATGAGGAGCAAGAATCAGGTTATGTGAAATGGGATGTTTTAGTTAGAGCTATAACAGAATAATGTCAGGATAAACATTTCATCATGTAAAGTGGAATGTTTTAGCATTTTGTAACAAAATAATATAAGAATGAGAATCACATTATGTGAAATTGAATGTTTCTATGTTGTAACAGAATAAAATAAGAATGAGAAATTCCAGCATGTGAAATGGGATGTTTTGATGTAACAGATTATTGAAGGGGCTGCACTGCCTACACAGTTTCATCTTATCCTCAAGTGACGGCCCCTGGCATCTATTTTCAAGTCCCTGCCTGCCTCGCCAGACTACTGTCTTGACATAAACCTGGCTGCCACGAGATACAAAGATAAGTGATATTGTGTAGTATTTTCTATTCTACATATGCACTGAAGAAGGCTCCATAGCTGCAACGTTCATGTTTTGTTTGTGACTGTTATTTGGTGAAGCTCGTTGATATAATTTTCTTTCGGTTTTTATATCTTTCATTGAAAGTATGAGAATTCAAAGTTGTGAAATGGGATCTTTTAACATTAGCTGTAACAGAATACTACTATGTGGATTCTGGGGTCCTATTTTAGAGGTTTAACAAAAGAATGAACTCACTGCCCCTTAACAGGCATGTTAACATAACATAACAAGTATGTCTTTTGTGTGTGTTTTCTTTTATGGGGTGGGGAGGGGGGGGGGGGGGACTATTTCTTGCTTTTCAGGCAGATTCATTCAAAGTGTTTCAAAGGAAACACCCCTAATTTGTCTTCTTTTTTTTTTTTTTTTTAATGATATGCTTGTCAGGGGGCAGTGGATCTATTACCCCACCACCACCAAATGAGACCTAAGAAACCATATGGGGATATCAGAAAACAATGAGTGACTTTTCAAAGTTTAATTCTGTAAGTTGTCTTTAGCTGCTGCATATCTTCAAGCCATAGTGCAGAGGCACAAATAGATTGTTATGGTCTGAGGAGAATGGTGCCGCTAGGAGTTCGCAGGGGATCTGGTCGTCAAGGGAAAGGCGAGATGGATATACAGGCAGACAGTTACTGGTACCATCAGAACTGGAACTCTTCGGTTGCTGATAAAGATGGGGTCAGAGCACTTATGGGAGTGTCCTGAGTGCTATGATGTTGATTCTTAATTCAACATTCAACTTCACAGCCATAGAAGTAGAGTGGCTAATTGTTGGCATGCCAGCTCAAAGTTCTTAGATGTGCATCTTCATCATGGCAGATTTTTACAAACTGAACCACAATCCCAGTTCAGCCAAGTCTCGGATAAGAAACAGCGAAATATCCTGGAAGTAAAGCTGGCTGGAGTGATAAAGCTATGGTGTGAAATAAAGTGAGCAGGTCAAGGCAATTAAGTGACTCAGCCTTGTGGTATGGCTGTATACTGTTAGTCTGAACAATTGCTTTTCTTTTTCTTTTTCTTTTCTCCCTCCCTGCCACAAGTTTTCAGTTGAGAAGGCCACAACTCTTTATGCAAGTCCTCCACTGATCCATACAGATTGGTTTCCACCAAAATGCCAGGGACGGCAAAACCAGGGACGTCTCTACATGTCTGTAGCACATGTTTAGTATTCTGTGGTGCCTGCCCATATCAGCAAAGTTCTAGGTTCCCCATCTTGAATTTCTTGTACCTATGGCTCCTATATCTATTTCATCCAGTTTACAATCTAAATAAAATGGCCTTTTTCTTTTGTATAAGGAGGCTAAACAGCATTACCTTTCCAACGGTCCCATTTCCCAGCCACAGTCATGTGATTCAACATGTATAATTAAACATTTAGCCATATTTCTGACCTAACCTGTTTTCAAGCTTCTCCTTCTGCCTTTCTAGCCCCCAGTGGAGCATAGGGTCTTGACCAGCTCACACAAAGTTGTTCTTTCCTTCGCTATTGCATGCTGCTCTCCTCATCTTTTTAATTTCACTCCCTAGCTCCCTTCTCCATATATTTTTAGGTCTTCCTTTATTTATATGCCCCTATGAGTTCCGGTACAAAGACATTCTAGTTATACTGTTCTCAGGTTTTCTTTACGCATGTCCAGTCCAAAGCCAGCATCTTTTCCTCACCTCTTGGTCCACTGGAACTTGTTTAGTTCTCTCCCAAAGCTCTAAATTAGTGATTCTATTATATCATTTAATTCCCTCTATTCTGCTCAGGCACCAGTTAATGAATGTTTGTAGGTTATTAGTAGTCAAGACAGCATCAGAAATCATACAAAAAACATAATCAGCAGAAAGCGAACAAATAATACCATTGGAAAGGAAACAAACATACCATGGCAAAGGAATACCCTATCCAAAGACTGCTCCAGCCTCGTGGGCATTCGGGTATTGATAGAGTCTGGCTGTGTACCGCAATAACATTGGAAGGCACATCACACACAACACAGCGACTGATATATGGCTGGATTTCACTGTCACCCACAGGCATCATGGGAATGGGTGCATTTGTGGACAGCCAATAGGAGCGGTCGTTGCGAGAGGCATAGTTGCAGACGTTGTTCAGGTTGCAGAATAAAAATGGCATGGTGCTGAAGCGTTGCAAGCAGGAGCCTGCCAAACCTGAATGAGGGGGAAAAAATACAACAATAGATGAATGAGGGGGAACAAATACAACAATAGATAATATTAGCTGTGTGAATGAGGCTGTCTACAATCTTTGGCTATGTTGTCAGAACATAACAAAAACTTACCTAGATCCTGGCTCTGTGAAGAAATAGTAGATCACAACTTACCTTGATTCTAGTTATCTGAGGAAGAAGAACTTAATAACAACTTACCTTGATTCTAGTTATCTGAAGAAGAAGAACTTAATAACAACTTACCTTGATTCTAGTTATCTGAGGAAGAAGAACTTAATAACAACTTACCTTGATTCTAGTTATCTGAAGAAGAAGAACTTAATAACAACTTACCTTGATTCTAGTTATCTGAGGAAGAAGAACTTAATAACAACTTACCTTGATTCTAGTTATCTGAGGAAGAAGAACTTAATAACAACTTACTTAGTTCCTGTTTATGTGAGAAAACTGAATACCCACCTAGATCCTGGTTGTGTGAGGAAATAGAACTGAACAACCCACCTAGATCCTGGTTGTGTGAGGAAATAGAACTGAACAACTCACCTAGATCCTGGTTGTGTGAGGAAATAGAACTGAACAACTCATCTAGATCCTGATTGTGTGAGGAAATAGAACTGAACAACTCACCTAGATCCTGGTTGTGTGAGGAAATAGAACTGAACAACTCATCTAGATCCTGGTTGTGTGAGGAAATAGAACTGAACAACTCACCTAGATCCTGGTTGTGTGAGGAAATAGAACTGAACAACCCACCTAGATCCTGGTTGTGTGAGGAAATAGAACTGAACAACTCATCTAGATCCTGTTTGTGTGAGGAAATAGAACTGAACAACTCATCTAGATCATGGTTGTGTGAGGAAATAGAACTGAACAACTCACCTAGATCCTGGTTGTGTGAGGAAATAGAACTGAACAACTCACCTAGATCCTGGTTGTGTGAGGAAATAGAACTGAACAACTCACCTAGATCCTGGTTGTGTGAGGAAATAGAACTGAACAACTCACCTAGATCCTGGTTGTGTGAGGAAATAGAACTGAACAACTCACCTAGATCCTGGTTGTGTGAGGAAATAGAACTGAACAACCCACCTAGATCCTCGCTGCATGAGGAAGCTGAACAGATCACTCACCTAGATCTTGGTTATGGGGAATAAATAGAACTTAACCAGAACTTACCTAGATCCTGGTTGTGTGATTTCTCATTGCCCTCCAGATACAGCAAACTGTAGCCATCCCAGAGTTTGGTGTGACCCGGTGCGCACTGGGGAACCTCACGAGCTTGGCTGTGTCGGACCAGGAGATATCCAATGAGCGGAGTTGAGCCTGGGACACCTGGCAGACCAGGGACTCCACGTGGGCCTGGAGCTCCTGTCAAGAATTGAAGAAATTGTACCCTGAGTTTAAAACCAACAACATTTGAAGCGGTTAAGAAAATAAAAACCCCACATGTTTTCCTCCTAAACTGTTAGATGTATAGAGCTATATGCTAAATAGAGTTAGTTTCAACATATGGCTGTTAATTAGGGACAATTAATTTAAAAAACAACAACAATTTCTTGAGGTCTTGGAGGTGTGGTTTTTCAGATGAATTCTTGGAATTTCTTGGACAGCTACAAATAGCAACCCAGATGTTTTGAAAGAGGCAAAGGCTTGAAGACAACTTATCACAAACATCATAAAAATAAAAGTCATAATTGTTTTGTCATGTGATGAGAAGAGGGTAATTGGGATATGTTGTAACCACTGGAAAAAAATATGTTAAAAATAAAAAAATTAAAATACAGGAAGACAACACGAGATATTCTTGACAGCCTTTTGTCTGGTACGAAGAGGTGTCAACTCACGAACTGATACATGCTGCTGAAGATCGCCAATTGTGGAGAGGCATAATTGTCCATGCCAGTCGGCAAGGCACTTAATGATGATGAAACTTTGTGCGGAAATGTATGAAACTCACTGGCAATATAGTTAATTATTTTTTTTTCAAACACACGTTGCTTGAATCAGATTCTAGCCTATTTACATAGCTATTTCTTCATACAATAAAGAACATCCTCAGATCGGTCAGACTCTCCACTTTCTGCAGCCTTAACTCTCCTAATCCAGCCTGCAACAATGCTCATACTGACTGCACAACTTTGATGCACTGCACACAAATGTTTATCAATGTTCATCACAGTTTATTATTCTGCAAACACAATTTCTGCAACAAGTTATTGCTTCTAACACACCTTATTCTCACCCTCTGTATTAATGAATTATTGCAGCCAATATTTTTTTTGTTTTTTTGTGTTTGAGTGACTTGCCATTTCTTGAACAGCAAAATTTCACATTTCTACCTTTATTATTCAATAGAACATTTAATCAAGTCTGTCAGCCAAAAGTAACAGTTAAGGATGGGGAAACTGAAAATGTCACAAACTTTGAATATCAAGACTCCTTAATAAACAGCAATGGAGACTGTTCAACAGAAGTCAGAAGGGGGATGGCTATAGCAATACAAGCATCAAATAACATTAAAAATCTATGGTTAAGCACCAAAAAAGAATCAAAGTTACAATTTAGAGAGCATGCATCTTCTCTGCAGCAACATATGTCTGTGAGTCATTGACTATTTCAAATCCTTAAGGAAGAAAATAGGGACTTTTGAGCTGAAATGCTATAAAGAGCTTTTCAGAATACCATGGACAAAGAAGAAAAGAAATACTGACATTCTAAAAGACCTGAACATCAAGGCAGATTGGCTAATAAACAGCATCCTGTCTCAGAAGCTGAAATATTTTGACCATTTCAAGCACCTCAATGGACTGGGGAAAAAATAATAGCAAAAGGCATGGTACCAGGAAGAAGCAGGAGGGGCCGACTAACAAGAAGATGGGCACAGGATATAAGTTACTCCTTGGATATGAAAGTCAGAAGGCAGAAGAGCTGGCAAAATGCAAGAGTTTCTTTCAGGCAGACTGTGGTGAGAACAATGTCCTGCAAAAGACTCGCTCCACGACTCAAATCTATTTTTTTTGCTTCAGGGAAGATGTATGCTCTCAAAATTTTGAGTTTGTTTTCCTTGCTGGTGCTTAATCATACTTTTTTGAATACCTCTCTAAATAACACCATGATAAAAACATTAAGAAACATAACATCAAGGAAGATAACACCACAACCATCTAATATACTGCTGGTGTTTAACACTTTTTAAGGCAGTATAGAAATGTTGAGGGGGCGGGGGTAGGAGGGCCAGGGAAGTGTTTAAGGTCTTAGGATTTAGGGGAAATGACGACAAGTGCAGTAATGTGAACTCTGAAGATAATGACACCCACCACCCCCTTCCCCCCACATAAAAAATCTAAAGCCATTAGCATCCTAAGGGTCTGAACGTGGATTACCAACACGAGAGCTCAGTACTCTTTACACTCTTTACTCTAAGAAGGCAATACTAGGGTGACAGTTTACTTCCTGCATTGAAAGAATACCTTCTATGAATTTTGTACTTAATTACAAAAAAAAAGAATCATCGCCAGTGCATGCTCTGTGCTTGATACCATCTTCAGGTGGCAACGAAGAGAGTTGGAAGAGAAGAAGTCAATGGTTACTGGTACCATTGGAATTGGAACTCTTCGCTCACTGCTGAAGATGGGTACTGAGCACTTATGGGAGTGTCCTGAGTGCTGTGATTTCTTTCCTTAATTCAACCTGCAACATTCTTTACCATCAACTTCTCACCGAGGTAGTAACACACAGGTAAATAATACCAGGCTATATAACACTTAGATCAAAAGCCCTGAGGTGAATATCAACTTGATTTGGGATTTTGGATGACAAAATCTGGAATGTTTCTCTTTTGTTTAACACCTGTTGGTTTTTGTCTTTTTTTTTTGTTTTGAACATGTTTGTCTGTTGTTTTTCTCTCTCTTTTGTTTGTCTGCTGTTCTGCACCTGTTTTTGTTTGTTTGTTATTCTAGGCACGTTCCCTGTGTGTCTGTTTTTTATATGTGTCATGTCTGCATGTTGTTTTGTACCTACTTCTAGCTAGTGTGTTGTTTTATACTTCTTTCCTGTTTGTATGTTGCTTTATACCTATCATTTTGTTTACCTGTAGTTTTGTACATATTTATTGATCTGTACAAGTTCTGTGTTTGTTTGCTGTCCTGTACCTGTTTCTGGGCTGTCTGTTGTTTTGTACCCATTTTTTTTTTAGTCCCTGTCTGCCAGATGCGTTCAAATCTGTTTTAGGGCTTGTCCTTTGCTTTGTACTTGTCCCAGTTCCTTGTATAATAATGTGTGTACATGCATGCATGTATGAAACATGTTCCCAGTTAATCGTTTCCTTTGTACCACTTTCTAGCACAACATACCTATTTTCTATATGTGTTTTAAAAAAATTTTTAAAAGAAAACACATACACATGAAAATACATGCTTAATTTTAACAAATTTCTCTGATCATCAAATTCACCTTAAGAACAGGAAAAAATATGCTTACCTTCCCTTCCATCTAATGCCTGTTCACCATTGCGACCTCTTTCTCCTGGGGGACCCGTATCTCCGGGTGGCCCTGGAACACCGCTGTCTCCCTTCTGACCTTCTAAGCCAGGCAGACCTGATGGAAATTGGATAATGTATTTCTTTAAAAATAAGGACCAGTGGCACATGGGATTATGATGCTTAAGTCTTACTTACATAGACCAGCTAGACTTGATTGGTGATGCGGTCAATAACAAATTGACCACCTTTACTTCCCAAAATATTTCCTGCCAATCTTGGACCCCTAGATCATTTTTGTTTTTTAAATCTATTCAGTGGGATTTTAACTTAAGACTTTTTGGGCCCGTCGGAAAGACTTTAACCAATGCACTACCATTGCTCCTTAGATAATATATTACTGTTCTTTCTGTTTTCCCTCTCTGGGACTGCAACGTAAAAAGCTGATGACTCAAAGAGCCACTATTTGGATGCCAAACGAACAGTAACAGATTCCAGATACCTTATTTAACTAAAATGTATTAAGTGTTAAACTTATGACCGAACTGCTGTTTGAGTGTGAAGTATTATGTCTTAACACAATCTAAATCAAGATATAATGAGATTTAGTGTACAATAACAAAAGAAACAATCATCTTCAGTTAGTAATTCATAACATATCAATGGGAAATATCAACACAATAGCTGAAACTGATTTGTTCCTCGTCTTTAACTTAAAGGTAAAAAATTAAAGGTAAAGTAAGGAGATGGGAACCAGCGTCACTGCACACGGTTACAAACCATAAGTGCTTTGCCACCAGTACGGACAGCTGATAAGAATTGTCCACCTGTGTCGCCGTCCGCACGTAACTCTGTGACTACAGTGACGTTCCTCCATTTACCCCAGAGTGTCTACTCTGGTACCCATTTCCTAGAGGCTGGGTGAACCCCGGGAGCCGCTAGGTTTTGAACACTGACCATGGACTGCAGCGAGTCGCAGCTGGATTTGAAAGCGAGCCTCTTATCGACTGCCTCAAACAATAATTGTGCCTCTGCCATACTGCTTGGCTGCCTCCCAGTCATGTGTTACTGCTAATGTTCACATGAATAAAGACATCTTCTGAGAGGACATCATACCATGCACTGCTACCGTTATTCAACTAATAAACAATACACAGTACTACCATTATACAACTAATAAATACTACATAGTGCTACCATTATTCAACTAATAAATACTACACACTGATACTATTATTCAACTAATAAATACTACACAGTGCTACCATTATTCAACTAATAAATATTACACAGTGCTACCATTATTCAACTAATAAATACTACACAGTGCTACCATTATTCAACTAATAAATACTACACACTGCTACCATTATTCAACAAATAAATACTACACACTGCTACCATTATTCAACTAATAAATACTACACACTGCTACCATTATTCAACTAATAAATATTACACACTGATACCATTATACAACTAATAAATACTACACACTGATACCATTATTCAACTAATAAATACTACACACTGATACCATTATTCACCTAATAAATATTACACACTGATACCATTATACAACTAATAAATACTACACACTGATACCATTATTCACCTAATAAATATTACACACTGATACCATTATACAACTAATAAATACTACACACTGATACCATTATTCAACTAATAAATATTACACACTGATACCATTATACAACTAATAAATACTACACACTGATACCATTATTCACCTAATAAATATTACACACTGATACCATTATTCACCTAATAAATATTACACACTGATACCATTATTCAACTAATAAATATTACACACTGATACCATTATACAACTAATAAATACTACACACTGATACCATTATTCACCTAATAAATATTACACACTGATACCATTATACAACTAATAAATACTACACACTGATACCATTATTCAACTAATAAATATTACACACTGATACCATTATACAACTAATAAATACTACACACTGATACCATTATTCAACTAATAAATATTACACACTGATACCATTATACAACTAATAAATACTACACACTGATACCATTATTCACCTAATAAATATTACACACTGATACCATTATTCACCTAATAAATATTACACACTGATACCATTATACAACTAATAAATACTACACACTGATACCATTATTCAACTAATAAATACTACACACTGCTACCATTATACAACTAATAAATACTACACACTGATACCATTATACAACTAATAAATACTACACACTGATACCATTATACAACTAATAAATACTACACACTGATACCATTATACAACTAATAAATACTACACACTGATACCATTATTCACCTAATAAATATTACACACTGATACCATTATACAACTAATAAATACTACACACTGATACCATTATTCAACTAATAAATACTACACACTGCTACCATTATTCAACTAATAAATACTACACACTTCTACCATTATTCAACTAATAAATACTATACACTGCTACCATTATTCAACTAATAAATACTACACACTGCTACCATTATTCAACTAATAAATACTACACAGTACTACCATTATTCAACTAATAAATACTACACAGTGCTACCATTATTCAACTAATAAATACTATACACTGCTACCATTATTCAACTAATAAATACTACACAGTGCTACCATTATTCAACTAATAAATACTACACAGTGCTACCATTATTCAACTAATAAATACTACACAGTGCTACCATTATTCAACTAATAAATACTACACACTGCTACCATTATTCAACTAATAAATACTACACAGTGCTACCATTATTCAACTAATAAATACTACACACTGCTACCATTATTCAACTAATAAATACTACACACTGCTACCATTATTCAACTAATAAATACTACACAGTGCTACCATTATTCAACTAATAAATACTACACAGTGCTACCATTATTCAACTAATAAATACTTCACAGTGCTACCATTATTCAACTAATAAATACTACACAGTGCTACCATTATTCACCTAATAAATATTACACAGTGCTACCATTATTCAACTAATAAATACTACACAGTGCTACCATTATTCATCTAATAAATATTACACAGTGCTACCATTATTCAACTAATAAATACTACACAGTGCTACCATTATTCACCTAATAAATATTACACACTGCTACCATTATTCAACTAATAAATACTATACATTGCTGCCATTATTCATTTTATAAACACTATATATTGCTGCTATTATTCAATTTATAAACACTTTACATTGCTGCAATTATTCAATCTAATAAATCCTACAAACTGACGAGGAAAACTGTTCACAAATTAATCAAAAGATAGCAAATGAAATAGTTTAGCTATCTGATAGAATGTAATATGAAACCTACAGCAGAATATCAGGACAGAATGTCAGAGATAGACCAAGAAACTATACAGATAGATGATGTAGCAGAATATCAGGACAGAATGTCAGAGATAGACCAAGAAACTACAGATAGATGATGTAGCAGAATATCAGGACAGAATGTCAGAGATAGACCAAGAAACTATAGATAGATGATGTAGCAGAATATCAGGACAGAATGTGAGAGATAGACCAAGAAACTATAGATAGATGATGTAGCAGAATATCAGGACAGAATCTGAGAGATAGACCAAGAAACTATAGATAGATGATGTAGCAGAATATCAGGACAGAATGTGAGAGATAGACCAAGAAACTATAGATAGATGATGTAGCAGAATATCAGGACAGAATCTGAGAGATAGACCAAGAAACTACAGATAGATGATGTAGCAGAATATCAGGACAGAATCTGAGAGATAGACCAAGAAACTATAGATAGATGATGTAGCAGAATCCGGCAAAAAGATGAACAAAAAATTCACTCAAGCCACTAGAGAAGTGCAAAATAAATATAAAACCAACCAAGACATTGGCTGCAACCTGGTAGCAGTTTGCTGATTAAAAAACATGTAAACTTTTTTCTAATATTCTGTTATGGAGAAAAACAAAAACAGTGAACAATAAATTAGAAATATTCATTAACTGGTGCGTGCCTGCAAGAAAAGTGGGAATTCAATGGCATAACAGAATCATTGATGTAGACCTTTGGGAAAGTTAAACAAATTCCAAGGTATCAAGAGGTTAGGAAAAGATGTGGTGTTGGACATGACACAAGTACACAAAAATCGGACAACTATAACTAGAATGTCTTCACACTGGAACTCACAGGGTAAAAGAAATAAGTGCAGACAGGGAAGGAAATAAGAGAATGAATTACGGAGAAAAAAAGATGTGGAGGACATGGGGTAAGCTTCAAGCTATAGCAAAAGGGTGACTACAGAGTTTGTTGAGGGCCTATGCACCTCTGGGGTTGACAAAGAGCAGAAAAAAAAAAACATTTCAACATTTGGAGAGAATCCTTACCTGGCATCCCAGGCAAACCAGGATCTCCCTTTGGTCCAGGATATCCAGGCTCTCCCTTTGGTCCACGAGCACCACTAGGACCTTCAGGAAGCCTAACTTTCTCACACACTCCTGCAGCACCAGAGTAACCCTCTGGACCCTGGAGTCCGGGACCCCCTGTAACAAATAACAAAATAGTGATATATATCTTGCGGTTAGATGACCCACAAACACTGAGGTATTAGAAAGAGCAAATATCACAACAGTTATCTCAATGTTCAGTCTTTGAAGGCTCAGGTGGCTGGGTTACACCCGGAGAATGGAGGATGGCAGAATCCCCAAGGACATCCTCTGTGGTGAATTACAGACGTTGAGGCCGGCTTCTACTATGATATAAAGATGTGTGCAAGTGAAACATGAATGAAATAGATACAGCAGTGCATTCACTGAAACAAAATGTGATGGACTGTGTTGCATTGAGAGCTCTAATCAGGTGGGGATGGGAATAAAGGAAGAAATTATTGCAGAAAGGATGAGAGCTGAGTGTCTGAGAAGTTCCTCCGAAGTCGGAGTACATCTGCCGGAGAGGCGGGGAACGAGAACTGCGAACAAATAAGCCAGTAAAACGGATGTACACGCAAAACTCAGGTCAAGGTAAAAGCCAAAAGTCCATTTTGGACGAACAACCGCGACTTACCGCCGGAAATCACAGCCGGTGAACAAGAAGAAGAAGAAGAAGAAGAGTGTCTGAGAAGAAACATACTAATACGTATGACGGCCACAACGGTCTTGACATTCATGCTATAATTATGGAAGACTTTTCTTAAGAATAGGCTGGTCTTGCTAGTGTCACTCGCCATCACCACTGGATGTCAGTCCCATTCCTCCTCATAGCACAATATAACAGTATTGTCTGGAAAGATGGCAAGGTGCCTACAACAATAAAAACAATCAACAACAACAAAAAAAAGGTTAGATCGCTCACAACCCTATGGAACTGTGGGGCCTAACAGATTTAAAAAAAATATTGATCTGTGTCATGTGGTTAGATGGCTGACAACACTCTGAAATGTGGAGTCGTGTAACAGATAATAAAATAATGACACGTGTCATGTGGTTAGATGGCTGACAACACTCTGAAATGTGGAGTCTTGTAACAGATAATAAAATAATGACACTTGTCATGTGGTTAGATGGCTGAAACACTCTGAAATGTGGAGTGTTGTAACAGATAATAAAATAATGACATGTGTCATGTGGTTAGATGGCTGACAACACTCTGAAATGTGGAGTCTTGTAACAGATAATAAAATAATGACACGTGTCATGTGGTTAGATGGCTGAAACACTCTGAAATGTGGAGTCTTGTAACAGATAATAAAATCATGACACTTGTCATGTGGTTAGATGGCTGAAACACTCTGAAATGTGGAGTCTTGTAACAGATAGAAAATAATGACATGTGTCATGTGGTTAGATGGCTGACAACACTCTGAAATGTGGAGTCTTGTAACAGATAATAAAATAATGACACATGTCATGTGGTTAGATGGCTGACAACACTCTGAAATGTGGAGTCTTGTAACAGATAATAAAATCATGACACGTGTCATGTGGTTAGATGGCTGACAACACTCTGAAATGTGGAGTCTTGTAACAGATAATAAAATCATGACACGTGTCATGTGGTTAGATGGCTGACAACACTCTGAAATGTGGAGTCTTGTAACAGATAATAAAATAATGACACGTGTCATGTGGTTAGATGGCTGACAACACTCTGAAATATGGAGTCTTGTAACAGATAATAAAATCATGACACTTGTCATGTGGTTAGATGGCTGAAACACTCTGAAATGTGGAGTCTTGTAACAGATAATAAAATATTGACACGTGTCATGTGGTTAGATGGCTGAAACAGTCTGAAATGTGGAGTCTTGTAACAGATAGAAAATAATGACATGTGTCATGTGGTTAGATGGCTGACAACACTCTGAAATATGGAGTCTTGTAACAGATAATAAAATCATGACACTTGTCATGTGGTTAGATGGCTGAAACACTCTGAAATGTGGAGTCTTGTAACAGATAATAAAATAATGACACGTGTCATGTGGTTAGATGGCTGAAACACTCTGAAATGTGGAGTCTGGTAACAGATAATAAAATAATGACATGTGTCATGTGGTTAGATGGCTGACAACACTCTGAAATGTGGAGTCTTGTAACAGATAATAAAATCATGACACGTGTCATGTGGTTAGATGGCTGACAACCCTCTGAAATGTGGAGTCTTGTAACAGATAATAAAATCATGACACGTGTCATGTGGTTAGATGGCTGACAACCCTCTGAAATGTGGAGTCTTGTAACAGATAATAAAATCATGACACGTGTCATGTGGTTAGATGGCTGAAACACTCTGAAATGTGGAGTCTTGTAACAGATAATAAAATAATGACACGTGTCATGTGGTTAGATGGCTGACAACACTCTGAAATGTGGAGTCTTGTAACAGATAATAAAATAATGACACGTGTCATGTGGTTAGATGGCTGACAACACTCTGAAATGTGGAGTCTTGAAACAGATAATAAAATAATGACACGTGTCATGTGGTTAGATGGCTGACAACACTCTCGACTTGAGGAGCTTTAACATATAACTGTGTAAATATAATATATCTTGTGATTGGATGGTCATAAACCTTCAAGACCACGGAGTCCTGTAACAACAACAACAACAACAACAAAATGCAACAAGATATCTTGTGCTTATAATGGTTGGATGGGTGACCAACCTTTTGGACCCTCGACCTCCTGAAACAGATAATAAAATAAAGTAATTGGCTGGACGACTGACAACCCCCTGCAGCCTGAGATCCTGAAGCTCAAATAATAAAGAAGTACTTGTACTGTGTAATTGTTGTACATTCATATCGAGCGCCACGACGAATTTGAAAAAAACTATAGCAGAAGGCATGGCACCAGGAAGGAGGGGCAGGGGCCGACCGACACGAAGATGGGTACAGGATATAAGTGACTCCTTGAGTGTGAAAGTTTATGAGGCGGGAGAACTGGCAAGAGACCGAGTTTCTTACAGGCAGACTGTGATGAGAGCGACGTTCTGCAAAGGACTTGCTACATGATGATGATGACTTGTACTGTGTCCTGACCAAGTGGTCTAAACTAATGTTGTCCAAGCACCATATGTCCAATGTGCATCTTATTTACTGGAAACGTACCATGATCGAAACCCACAACTGGCTGTGTGGATTTTATCGTGGTATGGGGTGTCGCAGGTCAACCCAGCCTAAAATGGGTCCCAGGGTGGGTTCTGGCGAGGTAAAGACGGCCGGCATAATGCTGACCACATTACCCACCTAGTGCCAAATGGTGTGTAAAAAATATGGGTGCTCTTCACAAATGCCCAATGTTTTTAAAGGGCATGAAAATGGACTTTTACTTTTATTTACTGAAAACCAAACAAAATACAAGATGAATGCTTAGAACTTTTCTGTTACTGAGAATCAATGAAAGATTTTAGATTTAACACTTGTCAGATGACAGATCCTACTCAAGAAATCCTGTTCACCCCCAGGCCTATAACTAGGATATAGTGTTCACGGTGTTTTGTGTTCATTGTGTTTTCAGAGTATACTTGTGCATTTTTTTTTTAAATATACAAAACTCCCAGCGTGGGCTCTGGGTCCCGACTTAGGGAAAACAAAAGACAGATCCACTGCCCCCCACAACAAGCATGTTGTAAGAGTCGACTAATTGTGGGTTTCCTTTGAAGTCAGAGTGCATCTGCCTGAGAGGCAAGGAGCCAAAAGTCTGCATACAAATAAGTCAGATTTATAAAATGGAACACTCAGGTTATGGAACAAGACTAAAGTCCACAGGTGGATGAACAACCAGAACTTGCTGCCAGTTTCCACAGGGGGTATTTATTCCCCCAGCTGACACGTGTTGTCATTCTGTTGAGAAACAACCGACCCGGCTGATACCAGCTAATTGATTTTGTGTATCTGTGTAGTATTGTCTGATTTGTATGTGCTGAGAAAGGCTCAAAGCGGCAACGTTCACGTTTTGTTTGTATTTGTTATATTGTGAAGCTTGCTAATATACTTTTCATTCGGTTTGATATCTTTACATGAGGAAGAAGATAGAGACATTTTTTTCAGACATCTTAATCTTCTTGAGCTTACTCATTGAGTCGCGGAAAAGGCATGCATGGGTGAACACATTGTAATACTACCACTTCCCCCGCCCACACCCACACACAAACACAACATTAATTTTTTTTTATGTCTAATTTTTTTCTTCTTTTGTTCACTTGAAATTTATTATCTATATCTGCAGTGTTGTCTCTGGCATGAACTTAACTATTTGTTGTAATTCAGTCAGCAGCCAGTAAAGTGTGAAAATGTTTGATGACCAACCTTTGTCTCCAACTTCTCCTGGCAAACCTGGGTATCCTGGATCTCCTTTGGGTCCCTGGGGTCCTTGTGGTCCCGGCTGACCCTGATCTCCCTTTTCTCCAGGAGTTCCAGGTAGACCTTGCCACCCATCAAATCCTGTGAGAAAATTGTAAGATGTTAAACCATTTATTTAATAATGATAATCATGTTATTATTACAGTCTGCATGTACCATCTTCAAAAAACAATTGAATTGGCCACAAATCTGCTTGGTGGTGTTGTCTGGATTACAGACACCTAAACCTGTGCAAGAGCATGGAAAATTGACATCAACAGTAGTCAAAGGGAAATTAGGGAGCTTTGTTCTGGTCGACCTAGATTTAGGTTATGGCTCAGGAACACAGTTTTCTCTAAAACTTAAAAACACATATAAAAAGTTAAGTTGGAAAAAGACATATTCTGAAGTTACTAGTCCTGTTGTTACAAAAAAAAACACTAAAATTTACTCAAAATATAGAAGCAGTATTTTTCAGCATATTCTTGATTCCCCCCCCCCTCCCCCCAACAAAAAAAGGTGTGCATAACTTTTTTAGCCCTAAGAGGTTTTTCAAACAAAAAGTGCTCAACTGTTTAGTCCTAAGAGGTTTTTCAAAAAAAAAACAGTTTTCAGCGTAAACACTTTCAAAATAAAACACAGAATTTGCTACGGTAGATGCCAGGTTTCTTTAGTAAAATGAGAAGAAAAACTGTTTAAAGGAAAAGTCAAATAAAATGACGTTCGGACATAAAAAGGCCAGACAGCTGATCACACATCATGCATTACTTGGTAACGAAAGAGTTAAGAGTTATCTATAGCTACTCTAGGAGGGCTGAGTGGTCTTAAGGCATGGCATCCGCCTTAAATGCTGAAGGTTCCAGGTTCAGGCGCCAGTGAAGGATTGGGATTATGCATGTCGACTTTTAGTAATTTCCCCTGGTCTCTTTGTAGTAAGATCGGTCGCCCGTGTGTATTGTTGCTCATGTAAAAAATCCCTTAGGCAGTTGAAAATCAAAAAGAGTAGTCTAATGGCGCTACCCAGGCAAAAATTTAGAGCTAAAAATCTAGCTAAAGTACTTCAGGATCCTCACCGACGCTTCAGAGTTCGTGCCCTGCACTAAGATTCTTAAGACTCGGGCTTGAGTTAGAAGTAGAACGGAGCTCTTATGAGTTATTACTCTTGTGCCATGATGTTGATCTGTTGTATAAATCAAGCCAAACCATACAGCTAGTCTCAGGGAAGGCAAACCCGGTCAACAAATGTCTGCAGCAGAAGTCACATCTGCCTGATGAAAGGCACAGATATCACAGCCATGCTGTAAACAGGCACAAAGCAATTACATCTTCAGAGGAACACAGAAGAAAAAGATATATAGCTTATCTTAAAGTACAGAAGTTCCCACTGTGGTTCCTGGAGCTAGACAGAAGGGGAAAGGAGGGGGGGGGGACTAAGAATAGAGTCAATGTCTCCCAAACAAGCTGACAGTAAGAAGCCACTAATGAGGAATCTGCTGAAATTCTTTACTCTCTCTTAACAACCATACTAGAGGGGAAAAGTCAACAGCAAGTGGTAGACAATGATACGAATGGGAGAAAAACATCAGGAAATTGAAAAGCAACAGTCAAGATAACAGACAAAGCATGTTGGAAATCCATTGTAGCCAACTTTTATTGTAAAGACGGCACTGATTGACTGACTGATGAAACTGGACTTGTTTGGCCAACAGGTGCAGAAATATAACCACAACATAATGTGCTAACCGCCCTTTAGGGCAAAAGCAGAAGAAGAAGAACGTGGAGGAGGAGGAGGAGAAGAAGAAAGCAGTAGCAGCAGCTTTCCCAGTATACCCACAGTACCCAAAAAAAACAATTAACTCCTGAAATTCCCTAGCTACATTTCTAGGCATGGGGACATCCCCCCCAACTGTGACTTCAGACCATCTCATGACACAAGTAATTGTCACATAAAACTCAAACTGGCACAAATTTAAGAGCGCCAGCTCGCCTCCATATCTTGTCAAACACAACATCCATGCAACATTAGTAATGCGTAATGCAATAGTCTATATAATATGAAGTAATGATAGGTACAATAGCCTATAAAACATGTAGTAGTGATAAGTACAGTGGTCTATATAATATGTAGTAATGATAAGTACAATAGTCTATATCACATGTAGTAATGATAAGTACAATAGACTATATAGCATGTAGTAATGATTAGGGAAAGAAAATGGAGGCTTTTGAGCTGAAATGCTATAGAAAGATTCTAAGAATATCTTGGACAAAGAAGAGGAGAAATACTGACCAGAAGGCATGGTACCAGGAAGGAGGGGCAGGGGCCAACCAACACAAATATGGACAGAGCATATAAGTGACTCTTTGAGAATTAAAGTACATGAGGTGGGAAAGCTGGCAAGAGACTGAGTTTCTTTCAGGCAGACCGTGATGAGAGCAAACTTCTGCAAAGGACCTGCTACATGATGATGCATGATTAGGGCAAAAGTTTATATAATGTGTAGTAATGTGTAGTACAATAGTCCATTTTAACATGTAGTAATGATAAGTAAAATAGCCTATATAAGATGTAGTAATGTGTAGTACAATAGTCCATTTTAACATGTAGTAATGATTAGTAAAACAGCCTATATAAGATGTAGTAATGATCAGCGGAATAGTTTATATAGTGTGTAGTATTGAGTAGTACAATAGTCCATTTTAACATGTAGTAATGATAAGTAAAACAGCCTATATAAGATGTAGTAATGATTAGCTCAATAATTTATATAATGTTTAGTAATATGTGGTACAATAGTCCATTTTAACATGTAGTAATGATAAGTAAAATAGCCAAATAAGATGTAGTAATGATCAGCAGAATAGTTTATATAATGTGTAATAATGTGTGGTACAATAGTCAACTTTAACATGTAGTAATGGTCAGCTCAGTAGTTTATATAATGTGTAATAATGTGTGGTACAATAGTCAACTTAAACATGTAGTAATGATCAGCAGAATAGTTTATATAATGTGTAATAATGTGTGGTACAATAGTCAACTTTAACATGTAGTAATGGTCAGCTGAGTAGTTTATATAATGTGTAATAATGTGTGGTACAATAGTCAACTTTAACATGTACTAATGGTCAGCTCAGTAGTTTATATAATGTGTAATAATGTGTGGTACAATAGTCAACTTTAACATGTAGTAATGGTCAGCTCAGTAGTTTATACAGTGTGTAATAATGTGTGGTACAATAGTCAACTTAAACATGTAGTAATGGTCAGTAAAATAGCCTATATAAGATGTAGTAATGTGTGGTACAATAGTCCATTTTAACATATGGTAAGTACAATCATTGACATCACCATCAATCAGCAGATCCTTTACAGAACATCGCTCTCATCATCGTACGCCTTAAAAATCTCTCTGTCTTGCCCATTCTCCAGCCCAATGTGCTTTCATAGTCAGTGTGACTTTGATGTCTTGAATCCACCTTCATGAGGTTTGTCTCTGCCCCACTTTCCAGAAACTGTACCCCTCCATTAGCATGTTTCCATAGGTCACCATGACATGTGTAAACAAAGTTAGTTGTGTATCCTCTACAGGATGTTGCAGAACCAACCCCACCATTCTTTGGGCTGTTATTTTCAAGGCAAATTTTATATTCAGTAGTTTGCCATTTCTTACTGAATGGTCAGCTCTCGGGACAACTGTTGAAACCAACACAAGACATTGCTGCCAAATCATCCACAGCTGGGATTGAACCCGACATCCCAGCATTCTGATGCATGTTCACAATGTCCAAGCCACAGATGCCAACCATGATATTTGAGCTGAGTCAAGAATTGACATCACAGCACTCTGGGCATTCCCATGCATGCTCCATCCTCATCTTCAGCAGCCAGCGCAGAGTTCCAATACTGATGGTACGGGTCACAATCTGGTTTTAAAAGTCGGTCTTGCCTTTCCTCTGAGTGTAGTGAGCCCCATGACATTTAATATGGCCAAAATACTTCAGCTTTCAGGACAGGGTTCTATGTATAAGCCAATTCTCCTCTATGCTCAGATCATGTAGGACAGGGGGTTTTTCTTCTTCTTGGTCTGTGATCTTCTAAATAACAAATCCTTTAACACTTCGGTGAAAAGCTCCAATTTTTATATATATATATATTTTTGTTAATGATTGAGTAAGGGTCCATGACCAACATCCATAAGTTATCACTGGAAAGATGCACTATCTTTAAAAAAAAAACCAGATTATTTAACCTATAGTAACAAGAAACAATAGTCCATTTAACATACTGTAATGTGAAGACCAACCAGATCCAGAGAACACATTTATCAGTGAAAAGATCATTGTTTGCAATTGGATAAATTATAAGAAAAACATCAAAGACGAGAGGTCACCATGAAGATTCACCTTTAGGTCCATCAAGACCGGGTAAGCCAGGTACACCAGCTAATCCAGGCAACCCATCCAAACCTCGATCACCCTTCTGGCCAGGAAGCCCAGAAAGTCCTGGGAGCCCCTCATCTCCCTTTGGACCATCACGCCCTTTAAAAAAAAAAAAGATGTAAAATAGAAACAATGAGAATATTCTTTTTTCAGCCTATCAAACATCATCATCATTATTCCGTAACACTGCCTGTCACCAGGTCATCAGTTTCTGTTGACTGTCTGATCAGCTGTTGCGATGGACTTCGTGGTTGCCTGCCTGAGGCCTGGTGCCTGAGGCCTGTCCAGTCAGTCAGGTTCTGTAACCAAGTCCTTCTTGGTCTGCCTCTTCTCCTCTTTCCCTCTACTGAGCCCTGCAGTATTGTTTTTGAAGGGCCGTTATATCTTATTACATGTTCATTCCATTGCATTTTCCATCTTTTCACCTTAGTTAACAGAGGTTCATAGTTGCCTATGTGCTATATAATTATATGGCAAACTTCTTTATTTGTAATGTGGTCTCTATATAATATACCAAGACTTCAATGCTTGTATCTTCCTTTCGAGTTCGGCTGTTAAGGTCCACATTTTACAGCCATATGTACGTGTACTAATTGCTAGTGCTCTGAGCTATCGAATCTTAGTTTTGCATGAAATGTTTTTGGATCTCCATAATGTTTGCTGCTTGGCAAGGACTGATGTTGTCTGGGCAATCCTAGACATGATTTCTGGTCATGAGCCCAGGTCACTTAAAATGGATACCTAATATTTTAAATGACTGACTTGTTCAAATTTTCACCTTTAACGTAGATTGGTGGTTATGCCAGCTGGATTATTAGTGATTAATTTTGTTGTTTTCTGCCTTTATTTAAATTCTGTACTCAGTCGATGTTTGATCGAGCAGATTTACAAGCTCGACTAGCTCTTGTTCTTCCCCAGTCAACCCATCGATGTCATCTGCAAACCTTAAGTTTGTTATAGTTTCACATCCTATACTAACTGTTTCATGATGTTGTTCAAACGGTATGTAAAACAGAAACACAAATTTCTACTTTTCAGCCCATCAAACAACATGTAAAACGGAAACAGTGAGAATTTTCACTTTTCAGCCCATCAAAAAACGTAAAACAGAAACGATGAGAATATTTACTTTTCAACCCAGCAAACAATACGTAAAACAGAAACAATGAGAAATATTACCTTTTAGCATATCAAGCATGTAAAATAGAACAATAAGAATATTCACTTGACAACTCATTAAACAACTTGTGAAATAGAAACACTTTTCAGCAGATCAAACAACATTTCAAACAGAAATGGCAGTTTTCAGCTAGGCTGCAACATCCAGTTTCAGCAAGCCCCCTAATCAGTCGCCTTTTTTATTTTACGACATGCTTGTTAGGGATCAGAGGGTCTACTCCCCCTTTCCCCTTCCTTCCAAACTGCATCAAAGGATACCCCTTGGGGACTTCCTCTATTTCTGAAAATATTTGAGGAAAGTATCCTGGCTAAAAGGAAAAGAGGGCATCGATGAAACAGCTATAACAAACACAGGCATTTAGACTTGGGCTAGGAAAAAACTAAACCCTTTCCACATCAATCAGGTATCAAGCATAAGCGCTGCAGCCTGGATGCTCAGAAGGCCCTCACCCACTCCCCCACCACCCAGTTTTTTAGAGTGCAGAGGGCTCCTCCCCCCCACGTGCAGAAGTCCTCTTCAAGCATTTCTTTTTATACATTCCATATTATTTCAAATATATTACTAGATTTACCTGCCATTTAACAAGCACATAGTAATTATTATTACTGCACAATTAAACAAGGCTTAAGCCCTTGCCAGGTATATTATTATATTTCTTTGCCATTCAGTACACCTATTTAACTCTTTTTGCCTTAAACATTGCAGCCTGCACAACTGACTCTTACCAAAGGTTCAAATTTGAGAGGCTTGGTTTCATGGCACGGGTCCCCCCCCCCCCCCACCCCAACCCCCACATATATTGCTCCACAGAACAGCTAATAATTGAATGCAGAGAAGGTTGCCTAAAGCACAAAGTCCATAGCTCCAGTGATGATACCACAGGGAATTAAGAGAAAACTGCACTTGTAAAGTAAACAATGCGGTTTGTGAAATTAACCCAGGATTGTAAAGGGTGAAGCAAGTATCTTAACTACTCAGCCATGGAAATCCCTGTGGTTCTTTCCAGTGAATCTTAACTATCACATAATATGTTTTCTTACTTTTACATTTGGTCAGATCTTAACACACTTAGGAAATCTGGCATTCAGAGTGACTACTTCCTGTATGCATTTAGTCTGTTTAAACAAAATCCATTTGTTATGTTTCAGAGAAGTGAGAACAGGAATGCCTTAAACTGTCTTCAACAAGATGAGCAAGTCACTGACAGCTAGAGAGATAAATAAGACACTAAAAATGAGAATTGTTGAATTTTATGTATACTCAGTCCTGCTATATGGTGCTGAAACTTGGACAATGAACAAGCAACTAGAAAATCGAATTGAGTCCCTGGAGATGTGGGTATACAGAAGAATAGGTCGTATTTCATGGAAACAAAAACAGTCCAATGCAGAGGTTCTGGAAAGGCTGCATACTTAAAGAGAATTACTGAAAGAAATAAAAAGGAGACAATTGAAATACTTTGGCCACATTAAAAGACATACTTTTAAAAACCAAACTGGACAGAGGGTCGTAGTCTTGAGAGCAAGAGGTAGGCAACGATATAAGTGGCATGACAACATCGAGAGATGGACTGGCAGAAGTCTAAGAGAGTGTACAACCAGGACAAGAGACAGAGTGTGTTGGAGATCCATTGCAGCCAAACTTCACTGTGGAGTCGGTACCTGATTGATTGAGAGAAATTATTTCTTAAAAAGCATATGCTGCAAAACCATTCTGGAAGTAAAAGAAGGGCAGTTTAAAAACAAAACAAAAACCTAAAAATTGACTGGAATAACTTACCAGGTCGACCAGAAAAGCCTGGTTCACCTTTCTGTCCTCTTGGCCCTGGCTGAGAAATACCTGCAGGATCTCCCTTTTCACCTGGAAGTCCATCCAAGCCAGGCATACCTAAAGAATACAAATGAATGACCGGTAACACACATTTTTATACAAATGAAAGACCAACAGCCAAGAGAACAAAAATAAAAATCTGATAACAAAGAAACAAAACAAAAAAAATATTTAATGTAAGTAAATGGACAGTTATTAAATTAGTGACAACTTATCTGGAAGCTTAGGAGATGTGGTTTTAAAGGCGAATGATGAGAGCACCATGGACAGATAAAAAGAGTAATAAAGAAGTCTTGAAAGAAACTGACTCACGAAGAAGACTGATTGCCCACATCAAGAAGAGACAATCTACATTCTTTGGTCATGTGATGAGAAGGAGAAAACTGGAGTACATTGTGTCAATAGAAAATTTGGAGGGGAGTAAAGGCAGAGGAAGACCGAGAGAATAGATGCTGAACGGTCTGACATCATGGCATGAAAGATCATCTGTGTCAGATTTGATTGAAAGTACATGAGACAGAAGGCTGTGGATAGACATGACTACCAATGCTACACAGCATTGACTTTCAAAAGAGAAGAAATGCCCAAAGAATGTCCAAATGAAAGACCGATAACAAATATAACTATTTATAAATAAAATACCTATAACAAACATAACTAAATAGTAATAATAATTACAACTATTTAAAATGAAAGATCAATGACCAAGACAACAAAGCTGGAAAATCATGAAATAAGACCACACAAATTTAGGATTATAATAACTATTTGATAAAGTGAAACATGATGACATTATAAAATTGTTGGAGGATATTTACATTAAGGGGGAGTTCTAGCAGGAAATCTTTTAAAAAATTTTATTTTTGAATTTCGAAATAAACTTGGTATCAAATTAAAGATTAATCAATATCCTACACGTTTCTGTATACATTTTTAAAATCGGATAAGTTGTATCCGAGTTATGATGGCTCAAAGATTGTCAGGTCTTTCTGGTCTTGGAAGAAAAAAAAATTAGAAATTCGTGTTTTCACACATACACATATGTTTAGCGACAATGCGGGTTTCCCTAACAGTTTTCTTACAATGAAGGATCCTTGTACGGAACAATCACAATGGCTGCCTTCGTAGAAGCATGTTTACATTTTGTTTGTTCTGAATGATTTGTACAAGTGATATTCTAAACAATGTCAAGTGATAAAAAGTATTGTAAACATTCAAGGAAGCGAAAGTTTCACTGGAATAGATTTATGAGTGCTACAAAAAGATGCATAGAATTAGTTTTAAAACATACTACTGAGAACTGAGAACGACAAACATGTAAACATTGACATTCCTAAAAGTAATTTGTGGATATTTTAATTGTAATGTAGTAGTAATAATAATAGTGGACCCAATACTAAAATTGCCACATTCACAGTGCCACGCCCACTCACAGTCAGTCATCGATAAAAATCAACGACCTGTATGGCATTGATGATGATCCAGGAGAGAATTTCCTTGAATGTCAACACAACAGAAACAAAGGTTTTATCAAAGAAGAAGATAACTCCAAAATGTGACATAGCAATAGAAGGAAAGGTGCTTAACCAAGTCAATAAATTCAAGCATTTGAGGACATTCATAACATAATATGGACAATTTGTGACAGAAATTAAAAGCAAAATTGGCCAGGCAAAGACAGCTTTTCAGAAGAGGAAAGTATCTTATGTAATAAATCCCTCTCTTTAAACTTCAGAAAACAAGTACTGAAATGTTAAATTGAGCCTGTTCTGTTGTATGGTAGTGAATCTTGAAATGTGAGCAAATTTAAGAAGAGTTTGGAGGCTACTGAGATGTGGTTCTTGAGAAGAATGTTGCAAATACCTTGGAATGCCAGAAAAACTAACAATAATTGCCAGGAAATGGCTAATGAAAGTAGAACATCATATACAACAATGAGAAGGAGACAAAGTTCTTTGATCATATAATGAGAAAAGGAGCACTGGAAAATATTGTGACGACTGGAAAGATCCCTGGTTGAAGAGGCAGAAGCACACCAAGAAAAATGATGGTGGATAGCCTAAGCTAGCTGGCAAGACACTTTATGATGATGAATAACATTTAAAAAATGAAAAGTCGATAATTAAGATGAGCAAAATTAAAGACCAATATTTGGAAAAGAAAAATGAAAGATCAATAACTAAGAACATGGGGGGAGCTGCACATGATAGAGAAGAATAGAACGACTTGGCCTGAGTTGTTTAGAAAGGCAGAAGAAGAATAGTCTAGATCTGATAGACTGGTCTGGTAGTCTTAGTTTCAGCTTCATAGCAAATGGGTCACCCCATCTTTGCTGCGTTCCTGTGCCAACAAAAAACACACAGAATGTCCAACATTAGAAGTGCAGTGCATAATTGATGGTAGCAGAAGTCACTAACAGATTAGCAGTTGCCCACGTGATCAATTTTAATCACATACGGGTACCACCAACATTGTGACGACAGGCATCGCACTATTTTCTGAATCTACAATTCACACCACCAAATTGGTCACAGTAAAAAAAAAACATTCTAAATGAAATCCGCAGCTCACAGTGTCACGCCATGCATTCAATTCAGAAGCTCGGTGACAAAACTATATCCAGTCTACAAATGGAGCAAAAATGCATCGACCACAGTCTGGCAGAAACAAAAAATTTGCCTCGGCTCCAAACAGTGTTCCCGCCTAGCGTCCATTTTGACCGGAAGTCTAGATCTGAGGAGTTAAACAAAATTAACACTCTAGGACAGCCTAGTTCAAGAAAGACCTAGGACAGAGTGGTTTAAAAAAAAAAAAAAAGCTAATAAACATAAGAAATTAAGAAAGAATAGATAATGTCAGTGGAAACCAATAAATGCACAATGAGTTGTTTGATAATGGATGGGTTAAAAAATAAAGACCAAAGATTTAGACAAAAAGAAGAAGAAGAAGAAGAAGAAGAAGAAGAAGAAGAAGAAGAAGAAGAAGAAGAAGAAGAAGAAGAAGAAGAAGAAGAAGAAGAAGAAGAAGAAGAAGAAGAAGAAGAAGAAGAAGAAGAAGAAGAAGAAGAAATGAAAGTGAGAAGAAGGAAGGGGAAACATCAGGCATATTACTAACTATTACAAATTCATAAAGGCATCAATAAATTACCTCTGTTGCCTTTTGCACCTGGCGGTCCATCCAATCCAGGTGCTCCATTGCGCCCAGGCTCACCCTTTTGACCTGGGATAGAAAGACCTGGCGCACCTTGGATACCTCGTAGTCCTGGCAGACCTAAAAGGACCGAGACATTTTCCAATTATGAAGATTCCAAATAACCTTATTCTATACTACTTCTTCTCTGGCTATAAGCTATGGTTTCTGTCAATTTCTGGTCTCTGTTTTACAGATCTGGCTTATCCCTATGCAGAATGTTGGTTCCTCCTCTTTCAGGCAGATGCATTCCGACTTTGAAGTAAACACTTCCTAATTAGTTACCTCCTATGACATGCTTGTTAGAGGGCAGTGGGTCTATCCCCCCCTCCCTCAGTGGGGTCCCATAACCCATATGGGGACCTTAACATATCCTATACCCTACACCTGAAGGATGCTGGTGGGTGTATCGTCCCTGAGGTGGATTACAGAGTCTACACAGGTAAAAACCATATCTACATTGCTATGCTGTCAACCTAGAAACAGGTTTTCCCACCAGGGGCCTGACTAGTCAATGTAATAATTGTTGTAGTTTATTTTATTTCATATTATTGTTTTATTAATCTCATATTAGTACCATTTATGGATTATTACCATTTGTATTTCTACTACTCTTTTATTCCTACTATTATTTTTATATTATCACTATTACTTCATTACTATTTTTTTTTTAGCCTCCCTTTATTCTATTTTATTTTATCAATTCCACACCACCTTTTTTTTTTTTTTTTCTCATGTGACCCCCTGGTGGGTGCTGTAGGTTACAGTGCTCTCCCCTTTGTTATTGTTTTGTAGTTAGTTCATGTTCAGAAAGGCCCCAGCCAAAACACTGATTTGTGTATTTTGTGCACATTGTTCTACTTCCGGTACCATCAGAATTGGAACTCTTCGCTTGCTGCTGAAGATGGGGACTGAGCACTTATGGGAGTGTCCTGAGTGCTGTGATGTGGATTCTTAATTCAACATTCTACTTCCCCATTTCATTAAGCCTTTTAGTCACAGTTCATTTCTTGACATTAGCTTGACTGCAGTGACCCTTCTTTTCATCACTAAAAATGGACTGACATTTCCTTCGAAGTCGGACACAATCTGCCTGACAGGTGCTAAACTAATAGTCACCCTACAATAAGGCACATCTTTAAAATGAACCCTCATGTAAGTCCTGGAACAAGACCAAAGTCAGGATGCAGATGACTAGCTAGGACTTTCTGCCAAAGTTCACAGGACTTTACCTGTACCGATCTTAGGCTTTTAAATTTACCCATTTTAGTTTGGATCAACCTGTGAGCAAAGGTTTTTTTTTTTTTTATTGTTATTTTAAATCGCACTCAATATGGATTTAAACCTGGCAGGCGAGCAAACACAGCAGTAAAGAACCCTTTTCCATGCCTTCAGGTGTATTGGGCATTAAGTGCCAAATCTATATTTTATAGACCAACTGGGACTAAGGGGGTGATGTGGTCAACATCACTCCAGCTGCCTTTATTTCCCAGGACTTCACCTGGTACCCATGAAAGGCTGAGTAAACCTGGGAGCCGAGGTCCAATTTGACAATTTTTAAAAATGCAGGCTTCATTCGAATTAAACCTACAACCTTTGGATCTGCAGGCAAGCGTCTATCCACTACATCAGGACAGTGGGTGCACATATTCACTACAGCCAAACTTCACTGTGGATATATTATAATCATAATTCATCACAATCATCACATTGTGCTTTTATATACAACACAAGGCTTGCGGTCTTTTCCTCCATTCTGTCATATCCTGCGCAATCACTTTGGTATTGTGGATGGAATTCAGTCCAGCAACTTTGGCCTCTCTCATCAATGTTCATTTTAGGGTTTCTTCTGGAGATCCCTGCTTCCTCAGTCCCTTTATTTTCCATTTTAGTGTTTGGTGATTAACTGCTCATTTCTTCTCAGGATGTGTCCAATATAGTGACATCTTTGTCCTACAGTTGTTGTTAGCAGTAGTTGCTCAATCATTTCTTCTATTTCTTCACCCCTCTTCGATTCATGACATTTTATGTTCAACAATTTTTTGAGGCAATATAGTGACATGACTGACTGACTGACAGACTTTCTATCCCACCAGGACATCACACAAGCGATAAACACCCGATGACACAATGTGCCACCATGTGGATGAGGATCACCGTGGAGAGGTCCCAGAAACCACATTCAGCCATTAGGCCATATTTATGGCCGGGCTATATTGTGGCCTCTGGCAAGAGCCAGGGTAGGTTTTCAAATAACGAACAATTTCATCCATAAAAGGACGGGAAGTATACTAGTATATAGTGACATCTTTGTCCTATAGTTGTTGTTAGCAGTAGTTGCTCAATTATTTCTTCTACAAGGTTCGACAATTAAGTAATGAGACTGATTCCATAAAAATTAAAATAATCAACAGTTGAAGATATAACCTTTATCTGATTCAAAGTAAGCCTCTTGTGCATTGATACAGCAAGTGGCTTGATCTAACAAACAATGGAACGACCTCTGTAGTTCTTCTTTTGTTATGGCCCTTAAAGTCCATGTTACGACCCTTTGAATGTCATTAATATTGTTAAAGAAGCGTCCTTTCAATCGTAACTTTAATTTTGGGAATAGAAAATAATAATAGGGAGATAAATCTGGGCAATAGGGGGGAAGGCTGAGAACACACATTTGTTTTTGGGCCAACAATTCTTGTTTTGATGATGTCTCTTGGGTACTCAACCCGCTGATGTTTTTGGTCATCAGACAACAAATGTGGTACAAACCGGCAAGCAACTTTATTCTTGCACTAAAATATTATGAATGGTCTCTATATTAACACCAGATTCATCTGCTATCATTCTCACTGTAAAAAATTTTCTTGCATCCATTCTCTGATTTTTGCAATGAGTTCATCATTATGAACAGAAATTTGGCCTCCAGGTCTAGGTGCATTAGTAATCATTTCCCCACCACTTTTGAGTCGTGAATACCACCTGAAAATTAGTGCATGAGATAAGCAATTATGCCCATAAACGTGTTGCATCAATTCAACTGTTTTGATGGCGCTTTTTATGAGTTTTAAAAAGAATTTAATTTTAGCTTTTTTGCTCCATGCTGATTATGTAACAATGCACCTCTGGCTAGGTAAACAAAATGGCAGCCTGTTTGTTGTCTGCTTATTGAGTGGCGATGAAAATTTGCCAGATCATAGATGAATGTTGCCTCTTTAGATTCCATGCTTTGCTTCATAGATAACATTTTTGTCTTGGCCATACTAAAATCAGTCTCATTTCTTAATTGTTAGACCTTGTATTTCTTCACCCCTCTTCGATTCATCCCATTTTATGTTCAACTTTTTTTCTCAGGCAATATAGTACCATCTTTATCCTATAATTGTTGTTGTTAGCAGTAGTTGCTCAATCATTTCTTCTATTTCTTCACCCCTCTTCAAATTATCCCATTTTATGTTCAACACTTTTATCAGGCAATATAGTGACATCTTTGTCCTACAGTTGTTGTTAGCAGTATTTGCTCAATCATTTCTTCTATTTCTTCACCCCTCTTAAAATTAGCCCATTTTATGTTCAACACTTTTCTCTGGCATTTGTTTTCAAATGCCTTTACCTTTCATTCCATGCCTTCAGTGGTTCTCTAACTGTCATTTGCATAAGTTCAAACTGAAATAACATTAGAATTAAAAATACATAACATTGTTTTACAACTATACAATTCATAGCTCCCCATTCTGTTCTGGCATTTAAAAGCTGGCGATGCTTTCCAATAGATGTCATAGATCTCTCTGTGTGTTTCCTTGACTATCAGTTCTCCTACCCTGTAAAATTATTTGCTGCAGAACAGCAGCAACAACAACAACATAAATCTGAGCAAACTGAAACACTAACCTCTGTCTCCCTTCTGTCCTGGCAGGCCAGGTAAACCATCTTGTCCCCTCACACCTGGCACACCTTCAAGACCTGTTTTAAAAAAAAATGGAAAGCAACATATAACAATTTTCCATCTACAAACAGGACACTGCAGTCTCAACTACCACATGCATAGAATAAAGACACTTTGCTCTTGAGGCCAGGTGTCTTCGAAGTTGCAGGTAGAGTGGACAGGTCAGCAGAATGTGCTCAGGTGTTTATGGTCCTGTTTGACAGGCACACTGTCAAACAGGACCACAAACACCTTAGCACATTCTGCAGACCTGTCCACTCTACCTGCAACTTCAAAGACACCTAGCCTCAAGAGTAAAGTGTGCAGAGCAAGCTATGGGGAACCATATAGGACCTGCCCCTGACATGAGAGTTCATAGAGGCAACCCACCTGACGGCCTGACCTGAGCATACAAAATTGATTTTAAAGAAGAAAAAGAAATAGAAGTGAAAATTATATAAGGTTCTTCACAAATGACAGCATCTGTGGCTTAGGAGTTGTGAACACGCTTTGTAATGCTGGACTTTACGTTGGTTTCGACAGTGGTATCGAGAAGCCGACCTTCCAGAAAGCAATGATAAACTATTTGATGTAAAATTGACTAGAAAAACCACAACAGCCAAAAAATGCTGGGGTTGGTTCTGCAACGTCTTGTAAAGGATACGCAACCAACTTTAACTTCATTACAAACAGTGTTAAAGTTTAAAACCAGTGACGTGTAAGTGTTAGTTATGTTTTTTTTACACAGACTTCACATTTTTTAAAAAACATATTATAAAGTATAGACATTCATTTACCGGTGCCTGCATCAGTTGGAGATATTTAAATGATACAATAGAATTACTAATATGGAGCTAACCAAGAAATGCAGAAAAGGTGCTGGCGGTGGATCAGATGCATCCTTAAAAAAAAAAAACTGACAGCAATACAGATAGAATATCCATGCACTGGAAACCTCACAGTCAAAGGAATAAAGGCTGACCAAAAGAAAAAAGAAAAAACATGGATAAGAGAATCATAAAATGAGATGAAAATAATGGAGAAGACATGTTGTGAGCTGCATATGACAGAAAAGGAAAGGATCACTAATGCAAGCTGGTTGAGGTCCTGTGTGTGTGTGCTCTATTGAGAGAATAACAGGAAGGCCAAGAGGGAAGAAGAGGAGGAGGAAGAGGAAGAGATAACAAAAAATACGAAGAAGGTGGACAGGCTGCACCATAATGAGGTGCAGTGCTGAAACAATCAAGCTTCAGTACAGGAGCAGACATATTTTTAGGCTACCTCAAGGTTTGAAGAATTAAAAAAAATATATATATTGTTTCATTTAAAGTGAATCTGAGAATGATTATTTGTAATTACTTTGACATACACCTTTGAACAAACTAGCTGGCTCTGCACAACTTGGTGGAATACTGATGCATGATAAGGCAAATGTAGTTAGCGCCTTGTGGGAGAATTTGCACAATTTGGAGGAGCTAAGGAATCAACACAGTTTTGTGAGAGTGATGCAGAGGGGAGTGATGAGGGAATCTGGCTGATATTCAACACTTATAGTAAAGGCAAGACCCACGTATAATCAAAATGCTACTGTCACCATTGCAGTGGCTGGTGAAGGTGGGGATGGAGCAAATCATGCACAGTGTATGAATGACACTACCCACTGATTTCCTTCTGCAGCCTTATGTGATCCCTTAAGTTCAACATTCAGTCAGAACAACTTAAAGACATCTGGCTTTTCCAATGTAATTACCACTATGCTTATTACCACTTGGAAATTATACCATTTGTGCATTTTCATCACGGATATTTCTTCACCTTAGCATCTCCTGTGAAACTTTCTAGTACTTTGCATTGCTAAGTGAAGTACATGGGCATTCATGTGAGCCAGTTACCAAATGCTGCCTTTATTTTACCGCTTTTGCTGTGTAGGCAGGGAGGTCTTTGAGCCTTTGAATTTACAGCCGCCTGGCCATGACTGTGCCGGTAAGGATTTTATTTTGCCCCCGACAGAAAAAAAATCTGCAGCCTTACCGAGGATTCGAACCTGGGTCTCCTGCTTGAGAGCCCAGCATTCTAACGGTTTAGCCAGCCGCTCCTCATTCACAAGATCCATCATTTTACTCTTCTAGAGCTGCTGAGGAGGAGTTTGGAGCACCTATGGATCTGTCAGGAGTCCTGTGATGATAGTCCTTACTTATCACTTTGTGGTACAGAAGGAGTTAACAGTTTCAATAAGGAGAAGATTGTGGGAAAATGCCACTTTATCTTACCTGGTTCGCCTTGATTTCCAGGTGTCCCAGCATTACCCTTGGGTCCAGTAGCTCCTGGCTCGCCTGGGAAGCCATTCAGGCCTGGGTCTCCTTTCATGCCAGGAAAACCTGAAATAATTACATAAAAACCCAGGCTGATTATTCTCAACTAACCATGCGCCTTGCGTTGGTTTTGACAGGGGTATCAAGAAAGCCGACCATCCAGAAAGCAATGGCAAGCTACTGGACATACATTTGCCTATAAAAACCACACAACAGCTAGGGGCTGTTGGGGTTGGTTCTGCAACTTCCTGTAAAGGATACGCAACTAACCATTATTAAATGAACCCTTTTACGCTTAAACCATTATTAATTTCTGCAAAGTCCTTAAGATTTTAGGAAACTCTTGCTGGGGACTAAAGAGGAATTGGTGGCCATTTGCAAAATCATTGTGAATCATTGTGAAGAGTACCAAAAAGGAAATAAGAAGGTAAATTCATTCATTCATTCAGTAGCATGTCCCTCGCGGAACCTCGCTGCCATAACAACCCTCCGGAAAACCTTCCTATCATGAGCAAGATGTCCTGCGTCTGATACACCCATCTGGAGATCATCTGCCACATCCTGCACCCATCTTCTCCTTGGCCTTCCTCTTCCTCTCTTCCCAGGCATATACCCCTCCATTATTGTTCTCTCTAGACTTCCATGACGTTTCAAGTGACCAAAATATTTCAATTTTCTTTGTTTTATTGTCTTTACTAGCCAACCCTCTTCAATATTCAGTTCTTGAAGTATGGATGCATTTGTTCTTTTCTTTACCCAAGATATTCTTAGAACCTGTCTGTAACATTTATATTCAAATGCATTTATGCGCTGTTCCGCTTGTTTAGTAAGTGTCCAGGTCTCACACAGGCGTATGTTGCAATGGGAAAGATGCATGCTCTTAAAAATCTGACCTTTGTAATTCTATCTGTACAATTCCATAATTTATTCAGTTGTTTTAGTCTTTGAAGAGCAATTGATAGTCGCCGTTTAATTTCTTTCATTGTGTCACCATTGTTGGTAACCAGTGACCCAAGATATTCGAAATTTTCCACCACTTCCAATCTTTCTTTATTAACATATATTTCCTTCTCCATGGCAGTTTTGTTTGTATGCATTATCTTTGTTTTTGCTATGTTAAGAAATAAGTTATGATTTTCACTATTTCTTTGGAGTGAGGTTAATAAGTTTTCTAAACCACTTTGTGATGTTGATAGTAATACTGTATCATCAGCATAACGAATTTCTGGTATTTCATGACCACCGATGTTTAGGGCATCATATTGTTCCTTGTTTATATCATCTCTTACATTTCTCATTATATTTTCGGCGTACAGATTGAACAAATACGGTGACAGCACACATCCCTGACGGACTCCTTGCTTGATGCCAAACCAGTCTGATGTCTCTCCATCTATTCTGACTGCTGCTTGCTGATCTTGATAGAGCATTTTAATGAGCTGCACTATATGTGATGGAAAGCCCATATTCCTCATGATTTCCCAAAGCTTCTGATGTTTTGGTGGCCATTTGCAAAATCATTGTGAATCATTGTGAAGAGTACCAAAAAGGAAATAAGAAGGTAAATTACCAGAAGTAATTCTACATCATGACGTAATGACACTCAAGCAAGCAGTTGACTTCCTCGCCATCTCTCCAACACAGATGAACAGGAGGACAGACTGGCTGGCTCTGCACAACTTGGTGGAATACTGCTACATGATAGGGCAGACGTGGTTAGTGCCTTGTGGGAGAGCATGTACAATTCAGAGGAGCAGATGGATCACCAGTTTGGTGAGATTGATGCAGTTGGGGGTGACGAGAGGTTCTGGCAGATGCTCGAGGCTCAGAGGAAAGGCAAGATGGACATTTAATCAGAAAGCTACTGGCACCATTAGTATCGGAACTCTTTGCTGGCTGCTGAAGATGGGGACGGAGCGCTTATGGGAATGCCCTGAGTGCTGTGATGTCGGTTCTTGAATCAAATCAAATCTCCAACACAGATAATTTATAGGAAATGTTAAAATATTCCGGTACTTATTTTTTAAATCTTGCTGCCCTGATGACCTAAAAACAAAAACACCTATGACCTGTAATTACGGAATTCACTGAATAATTCTTTTTAAAAAAAAAAGATCCTATTTTACCAGCACAAACATTGTGTAACGGCTTTCATTCATGCTTCTCACCTGTGACACAGTGTCATACTGAAAATATAATTTTGATTGCTGAAAATAAAACACAGCTGCAAGAAATGATGGACATAGTTGTAATAAAAAGTAAAAACATGGGTCTTAGCGTAAACTGCAGAAAAACAGAAGTAATAGTAATTAAACAGGCGACCATAAGTCCCATTTTCTTCAGAATGGTTGTTTTCATAGGCTGGCCCAGACTGTTCCATCGATACTCATTGTCGAATGGAGCAAAGGAAATTTTATTGTTGTTGAGTAAGGTCCAGGCCTCCCTAAAAATGAAACTGTCCCGACAATATGGTCAACCTATAGTCAAAACAAAAACGGACTCCAAAAAATTCAACATGAAAGTGATGGGGGACAATTCTCAAGCATGTTTATACACTTAAATATTTGGCCCCCTGATGACAGCAGCCAAAAAGAGCAACCAAGAGGGTTTGAAAGAGGCTGAAGCCTGAAGACAACTTATCACAGACATCAGAAGGAGACGGTCATCATTTTTCAGCCATGTTATGAGAAGAGGGAAAATAGAATATGTTGTGACCACTGGAAAGATCTGTGGAAGGAGGGATAGAGGAAGACAACGAGAGAAGATTCTTGACAGTCTTGTTGCATGGCATGGAGGTGTGTCGGCACACGAACTGATACATGCTGCATAAAGACATCGTGGATTATGGAGAGGCATGATCGCCCATGCCAGCCGGCAAGGCACCTGCTGATGATGATGATAACAGCAGATGGAAAATGTATTATAGAAATGAAATGTAGAATAGCTCAAATAATACAGCATATTATAAAAATATTCTATGCAAACTTTCTGTGTCAACTGAGGTCAGAAAGAGAATTTTCAAGAGCTACATAAATCATATCCTGATATACAGAAGTTAATTATGAGTCATTGGATGATTAGTGAAGAATTATGTGGATGCGGCAGAGGTGTAGTTTTTTAGATGAATCATAAGAATACCTTTGACAACGAAAAAAAAAAAGTAATGAAGACGTGTTAGAAGAAACTGACTCAAAAGAGAATGTTGAATGTTAAATGTTGAATTAGGAATCGACATCACAGCACTCAGGACACCCCCATAAGCGCTCCGTCCACATCTTCAGCAGCATGTGAAGAGTTCAAATTCTGATGGTAACAGTAACACTCAAAAGAGAACTGACAGCCCACATCAAAGGGAGACAACCTACATTCTTTAGTCATTCCATGAAAATAAGAAATCTGGAGTATTTCAGGACAGTGGGAAAGTAGGAGAGGAAAAGAGGAAGACTGAGAGAAAAAATGCTGAACAGTCTGACGTCATAGCATGAAAGATCATCTGTGGCAGAACTGACTGAAAATACATGAGACAAGGGGTTGTGGGACAGACATTGGTGCTTTCTTAATATCCTACCCCAAACAGCGGAAATCCACAGGTCACAGGACAGTCTAATATTTCAGGGGGTTGCAAATAGGCTGCATGCAGTCGTGGGACCTAGGCAGCACTCTCTCGTGGAATGTAGGTGGGCTGGGTTTAGGATGTTCTAGGGTTGTAAAAGCATCAAAAAGCCAGAAACCCAATCTTACCACCCTCTTAAATGTTGGACTGTCATGATGTCATCTGGGTAGGATATTTCAAAAGAACCCAGACATTACTATGAATGCGATACGGTATCGACTATAATAAAAAGACACACCCCAACAACTGACCTGGTTGTCCATCAAGTCCAGGGAAACCCCTGTCTCCCTTAGGTCCGTACAGGCCTGGTAGTCCCTCATCACCTTTGTCTCCTGGAAGACCTGGTAGCCCAGGAGTTCCATCTTTACCGTCAAAGCCTCTGTCTCCCTTGGGGCCAGCAGGGCCATCCTTTCCAGGAAAACCAGGGAGTCCTAGAGAATTTAGATAATAAAATATCATCATCTTTATCACATTAATTATCCTGTTGTGCCATTTCAGGTTGTCAGTTGCTGTTCCATCTTCATCACAAATATGTAGCTCCCTAACTGCTCCAATCCTGTGCCAGCCAAAACCACCTAAAGTGCCAGTCACTGTCTAATGTGAAAAGTTAAACAGACAGCAACCTCAGCTAAGTCCAATAGCATGCACATGCACTGAATGCATAAGGCTGATGCCAGCAGTGCTAACATCAACAGCCTGTCACAAGAATTGCAAAATAGCATTGCTGGAAATAGCAGACATGATAAAAAGCCTGGAGATAATAAGCCACCTGAGTGTAACCAGAAGGTCTGGCAGGCTCACTGCACTCAGAGGAAAGGCAGGACTGACATATAACCAGATTACGACAGGTACCATTAGTACTGGAACTCTGCACTGGTTACTGAAGATGAGAAGGGAGCATGCATGGAAATGCCCCGAGTGCTGTGATGTCAACTCTTGACTTGACTCCTCAAACAGCAGCTGAAAATGCATTACTGCATTGGTTATACCACCTTTCCAGGAACAACTAACTTAATTTGCACAATTGATCAGCAGCCTAGATGAAAACCCTTTCAGGTTAAATCCACCGCTCACAGTGTTGCACCATACACTCAGCTAAGTAGCAGAGCAATGGAATCAGATTTTTCACTATTTATGCATCACATAGGGCTTGTAGTTGGTTCCATAATTTCCTTTCACTTTATCTTGTGCAACCCTCTCTAAGTATGCAGGCATACATGAGATTAAACACAGTTCCCCCCCCCCCCCCCCCAAAGACAATCTTGGAATGCTAAATTAAGTTATTTTATTACAATCAACATGACTGCACAGTGGACATTCCCACATGAGGTCAGTCCTCAAATGCAGCAGCCATCCCAGTTTACCTCTACTGACTGTTCCCATGAGAAATTTGTTATGACATCTATCTTGACCTCAAAGACAGCACAGGATTTACTTTCAGGTTATGCGAATAAACATTCAGGTTGTTTGTGAAAGACTCTCTACCAAAGTCCATGGGAACTGTATTGCAAAGCTCTCCTTCTGCTCTCAGAATTGAAAATTATGCTAAGAGTACAATTTATCAATGGTCTTCATGCCACCTCAACATAGCACAACCATGACATATTCTACGGTCAGGAAAAACACAAGGAATCCTGCACTGGAAACGTGCATATACTAGCAGTCCATGACAAGAGAATACAACTATCCACCAAAAGAATCACAGCACCCAAATACTAACCTAAATCATAAATCAAATGAGCAAATACTTGTTACTTGTTGGCCGTATCAACATCTTTGCACATTGATCTGACCAATTCATGCTCCAATGCAGCAACCATCTCAAGTGTCTTCATACTCACCATACCCAGTAGGAGTTGACTGGCACATCTTCTTTCTTTACCCCACAATTGGTTTCTACATATTTGTCCTCGTTTAATACCCATTTCCAACAACAGGCGGTTCATTGTCTCTGACTCCTTTGTCTCTAAGTCTCTTGAAGGCAGTGCATTTAGTATGTCTGCCCTGGCATACTTCTTCCTCCACCAACCACTGAAGTCACAGCCAGTTTCTCAGCTATTTTATTTACTTTCATCCTTTCATCTCCTGGTGTGTACAGTCAAGACAGTTTTTTTAGGTGGGACTTCTGGATGCTGTCAATCCATTCTAGTTTGATTTTGCCAGATTGGACCTACTTAAGCATGCTCACTGAGTCTGTAAATGAGCAAACGTAATACACACAGAAAAGTGAACAATATTAAAAATAAAAACATACCTTTTAGCCCAGGCAAACCATCAATTCCTGGGAGTCCATCTCGGCCAGGTACTCCTGGCTCACCCTGGATGTAAAATAGTTTTTGCATGACTTAATTTGCATATACCTCATCCTTCTTCTGCATTCAGCCTGACTAAACATTCAGTCCTGACTATAACACAAATATGATGGCACATCATGTCATTGCCAGTCACCCACAGTTTGTCTTGCTAGATAACTCTCTTGGGCACTACTACAACCTCTTCACAAATTTGATTAGGCAGCAACCCTGCAGCTTATGTTGAGGAGCCTGTATGTTTATTCTGTATCAGAACTGGTAGATTCTTTATGTCTATTCTGTACGACCTGAATGTATACCAATTAATATTTTGTTTTAACAAATGTTTCTATGTATAATGTTTAGTCAGGGGCTCTAATATTTGTTTCCTAAAAAGGTTGTGTATTACATTCAAGTGGTGCATCATCTCCAAGTAGTGTATCACATGATAGTATTGTAACACCTCTAAGCCATGTATCCCACGTGGCTGGTGTATCATCTCCAAGCACTGTATCACTTCCAAGCACTGTATCACCTCCAAGCACTGTATCACCTCCAAGTGATGTATCACCTCCAAGCCATGTATCATCTGCAACTGGTGAATCACCTCCAAGCATTGTATCACCTCCTAGTGGTGTATTAGTTCTAAGCCATGCATCACCTTGTAGTGATGTATCACCTCCAAGCATTGTATCACCTCCTAGCGGTGGATGAATTCTAAGCCATATATCACCTCCAAGCATTGCATCATCTCTAAGCCATGTATCACTGAAACTGATGTATCACCTCAAATCATTCAAGCACCGTATCACCTCCTAGTGATGTATTACCTCTAAGCGTGTATCACCTCCAAGCATTGTATCATCTCCTAGTAGCATATCACCTCCAAGCATTGTATCACCTCCAAGCCATTTATCACTTTCAAGTAGTTTATCACCTCCAAGTGGTATCACCTCCAAGCATTGTATCACCTCCAAACATTGTATCACCTCTAAGCCATGTATCACTTGCAACTGGTGTATCACCTCCTACTAGTCTATCACCTCTAAATCAGTTATCACCTCTGAGCCATGAATCACCTATTAGTGGTGTATAACTACCAAGCAATGTATCACCTCCAATGGGTGTATCACCTACATCTAGCGTATCACCTCCAAGTGGTGTATCACCTCCAAGCATTATATAATCTCCAAGCATTATATCACCTCCAAGCATTATAGCACCCCAAGGCTTATATCACATGTAAGCGCCGTATCACTTCCAAGTTGGTGTATTACCTTCAAGCTGTGTGTGATAGTAGAATAGACAGAATCCCTAGTGAACAGCTTTAGGAGAGATTTAAACAAATTTCAACAAACTAAATTGAGAAAAACTGATATAAATATAAGTAAAATGTCCTTGCACTGGAACCCACAGGGCCAAATGATTAAAAAGCAGACCTAAAACACATGTGACGGAAACTAGAGATTGAAGTATTTGAAAAAAAAATTGGGTGAGCTACATGCAATAGCAACCGAATAAGACAACTAGGCATGAGTAAATTAAGGGCCATACATCTGGGGAGGAAGGTATATAGGGCAGAAGAGGAAGAAGAAGAAGAAGAAGAGAAAGTTAAAGAAGCTAATGATACTTCTTCTCCTTCTGCATTTTCCCTTAAAAGAGTGGTTGGCACACTGTGTTGTGGTTTGCAGCTATGCTGTGATATTTGTGCCTTTAAGCCTGAAACATCCAATCTCAGCAAAACCTTTATTAGTCGCCCTGTATGAACTGCTTGTTTGGAAGAAGCAGTGGATCTCCCCCCATCCCACCACCAAACCCTAATGCTGCCCCGAGAACCCACATGGGGGAGCCACTAAAACCAAACAGTTACCTTTTCCCCAGGAACGCCCGAGAATCCTGGCGAACCTTTCTCTCCAGGACGGCCAGGTGGGCCCATTCTTCCTGGTTCTCCAGTTCGACCTTTTTCGCCATCCCGTCCAGGTAAACCTGGCATACCAAATCCAGGCGGACCTTGGTCTCCTTTCTGGCCATCCAGACCAGGCAAGCCTAAATGATAATGTTGTACACACTTTATTTAATGTTGTATACACTTTTTGTAATATAGTACATTTTAATTAACATTTTATACACTTTATGTAATACAGTGTATATATGCGTGTGTGTGTATCTGTAATATGTAATGTAATAATGTAAGAACCTGATGTAATACTGTGTATACTTTATGTAAAACTGTATACATATTTTGTGTAATATTGTAAACACTTTATGTAAAATTGTATACACTTTATATAATACTGTATTCACTTTATGTAATACTGTATGCTCTCAATATAATGTTATTTTAATACTTTATAGATTATTCTTATATATTTAATAACACATTATACACACTCTATACTTCCCTTTCTTCATTTTCACCAGATATAAACTCTGGTAGGAAGTTCTGGTTGTTCATCCCCTTCTGGTTTTGCTCAAGAACCAGAGTTCTGTGTACATATTACATTTACAAATCTGGCTTATATGTGTGCAGACTGTTGGTTCCTAGCCTCTCAGGCAGATGCACTCTAGCTTCAAAGGAATCCTCCTTAATTAGTAACTCTTATGTCATGCTTGTTAGGGGCAGTGAGGCTTTTTCTTTCCCTCCCCTTCCCCAAGGGAACACCTTATGAAAACTATATGTAATGTGTTTATACTTTATATAATATGCATATGCTTAACATAACATCTATATACTTTGTATTATACTTTATTTGCTTTAAATGATAGTATATACACTTTTTATAATAATGAACACACTTTTTATTACTGTGCATGCAGCCATGTCCCTTCCTATGCTGTTTTCAGGGTACCCAAAGATTTGAACTTCATCAAGTGCATCACACTAATTCCATTTACTTTATGTACACTTTGATGTAGTGGCAAAGTGTGCTGAGTCAGGTATGCTCTAAGCAGAGTGGCAAGCATTGCTTCAGAGCTCCAGGGTAGTTAACATCCTTTGGATATTGTCTCCAGGTCATGCAGTGTTGAGAAATGAACAAGCAGATTGACTGGCTTGTTCTACACCACTCAGTGGGGGAACTGATGCATCACATGCTAGATCTTGTCAACAAGGCTCTTTGGGAGTGAGTGAAGATTACAGAAACACAGTTGGATTATAATGGTCTGAAGAGAATGGTGCAACGAGGAGTGACTTGAGGATCTGGCCGACAGTCAACAGTCAGAGGAAAAGCAAGACAGTAACACAGTCCAGACTGCTACTAGTATTATCAGAACTGGGCCTTTTCATTGGCTGCTAAAGATGGGGACGGAGCACATACGGGAATGAAACTCAAGAACCGACTTAACTGATGTACATTTTTGGAGGACACATTTTTCTTTACAATAACTTAACAACTATTCAGAGTTTCAACACTGAAAACAACAAGCAATGGAGTCCTTACCTGGCTGTCCATTCTGACCAAGAGTTCCTGGCAGACCTGCATCTCCTTTGGGACCAAAGGGCCCTGGTCTTCCGGGTTCACCAGCAAATCCATCCTGTCCAGGTAAGCCAGGGAGCCCAGAGTCTCCTTTTGGACCTGCAACAGATAAAATACTTTGTTAGTATAACTACATAATAACACTTATAAAATGCACTAAAGTGCAAGAGATAAAACTGTATGGTCATCTGAACAGAATGCCCTGGTACAAACTACCACAGAGAGCAACAGTGAAGAAATATAATGAGCAGAGAGCAAAGGGAAGACCATGCAAAAATTATGGAATGACAGCATCTAGAAATCCTTAGATAAATGAAGACGAAGTTACAAATGGCTTTACTTAGAAAGTGTGCATAGAAAAACCGTACCCCCCCCCCCCTCCCTACCCACAAACTCTTCACTGAGATAAATGGAAGAAGAAGAGTAGAAGAAGCTATCATGATTACATACGAGTCACTTACCATCAACGCCAGGCAAACCATTAGGTCCTGGAAAACCAGGATTGCCCTTAAACCCCTTCATTCCAGGAAAGCCTGGTAGACCATCAGGACCGGTGCGGCCTGGTTCTCCGTCATATCCTTGGGGACCTTGGTCACCTTTAGGTCCTGTCAAGAGGAAATAAACACAAAGGTAAATTTGCTGTTTTACAACTGTTGTTTAGTCAGTTGACTAATTAGTAAAGCTAGTTAGTCAGTCAAAATGTCAGTAAGATACATTTAGTTATCTATTTGCTTGTTAGTAAAGAGGTCAGTTAATTAGTTAGTTAGCTAGTTAGTCAGTCTGTCAGTTAGCTACATAATTTAGTTAGTTATTTGCTAGCCGGTTAGTCAATTAGTTGGTAATTAGTTAGCCAGTTAATCTATCAGTTAGCTACCTGCCTTAGTTACACATTTGTTACTTATCTAGCTAGTTAGGTAATGAGTTAGGTCAAACCATAAGTTTTTCAAATAATTTAGTTATCTGTCAGTTAGTTAGCTAGTTAGTTAATAAGATACCTAATCAGTTACTTTGTGAGTCTGCTAAAAGACCATCCTCACTAGACACCAAACCCTTCAATTCCTAAGTTTCCAGATCTGTTTAATGACAACAAAACTTACCAGTGAGTCCAGGTAATCCATTATCTCCATCAGGGCCAGGCAAGCCAGGTGGGCCATCTTTTCCTGGGAAACCATCCATGCCTGGTATGCCTGCTAAACCTTTGTCTCCTTTAGCTCCTGGCAACCCCGGCATGCCCGGTAATCCTGCTTGTCCTTTCTGGCCAGGTTGCCCTGTACATAAGAAGAAGTGCATTTAAATACATTTATAAGTGCACTTACTCTGTTTTTATTTTTTTTTTAAATAGTGCTTATTTCTCCTGAATTTATTACTAGATTAATGTAATTAGAAACCTGCACATCCCAGTGTTTTTATTTAATACTTAGCTGCTGTTGATAATGCTTACTATTAGTTGATGTATGAATGGAATGATGTATAAAAGGAGGGAGACCAGAATGGTCAATTCCAAACCCTTTGAAAATAAATGTTGTTCATCCTCTCTCACTATCGCTCTATCCCTCTATCTCTTTTTCTATTCATCTGTCCATCTCTATATATAAGGTATCATAAAAAATAAAATAAAAAATAACCATAACATCCATGGTGATTCACTCATCTAAAGAAAGTTGAATATAAAAACCTTTGCACTAATTACCATCCGTCCAGTCACACAAACCTTCCAGTAATTCTAGGAGAAACTAATAATCATCTCTCTGATTACATAAATTTACTAGAAATCCAAGGAGAAACTAATGTCTCCAATTACATAAACTTACCAGCAATCCTAGGAGAAACTAATTACCATGTCTCCAATTACATAAACTTACCTGCATTCCAAGGAGAAACTAATTATCATATCTCCAATTACATAAACTTACCAGCAATCCAAGGAGAAACTAATTATCATATCTCCAATTACATAAACTTACCAGGTAATCCTAGGAGAAACTAATTACCATGTCTCCAATGACATAAACTTACCAGGTAATCCTGGGAGCCCACTAATTCCCTTCTCTCCAAAGGGTCCTGGTGGACCAATTGGACCAGGTTCTCCATCGAGCCCATCACGACCTGGAAGACCTGGAAGACCTCGTGGTCCAGGAGCACCCTTTTCTCCTTCAAATCCAGGCAGACCCGGCATACCTTGAGATTAAAGAAAATATTTCCTAGCAAATATCGTTTGCAAACCTTTCAGTGTGAATGTTGCAGATAAATATCTGTAGGTCAGCAAATCAAGATTACAGAGACTCACAAGGATATCATCATCATCATGTAGCAGGTCCTTTGCAGAACGTCGCTCTCATCAAAGTCTGCCTGTAAGAAACTCGTTCTCTCACCAGCTCTCTTGCCTCATGAACTTTCACACTCAAGGAGTCACTTATATCCTGTGCCCATCTTCGCGTCAGTCGGCCCCTACACCTCCTTCCTGGTACCACGCCTTCTGCTATAATTCTTTCCAATCCGTCGTGGCGCTTGATATGACCAAAATATTTCAGCTTTCGAGAAAGGATGCTGTTTATTAGCCAATCTTCCTTGAAGTTAAGATCTTTTAAGATGTCAATATTTCTCATCTTCTTTGTCCAAGATATTCTGAGAATCTTTCTATAGCATTTCAGCTCAAAACCCCCTATTCTCTTTCTTAAGGACCACAAGGATATACTGTCTGGAAAATGCAGGAGTAGGATCGAATGAAAAGTCAGAGTTTTGGCTACATCATTCTGAAGACCATTCATGAAGGAATGATAATAGAAGAGGTTAGGCAGAATAACATGTGTAAGAATATGTGAGCGAGGTGGAATTAGTTGTGGATCCTCCAAGGATGGATGTAAGGGAGGAACAGCACAACATATGTATTATCAGTGAGCTAGGAGGACAGTAAGCATCTACAATTTAGGATATTTGACGCAGGCGACGGAGCATCTATGAGTATCCCCCATGTAATATGATGTCAATTCTTAACTCTTTGAGTCCTAAGGGGTTTAGCATCACAGGCTCAGGGGGTAGTAAATAGAGTCATAAAATTGGCGCATCATGCATTTATTGGGCTTCTAGGTAGGAAGCGATGAACATATGATGCCTTCCTTGGGACTCAGAGAGTTAATCTGTAATTAATCCTCTGTATTTTTTATCTTTTTGTCATCTATAGTAGGTAAAAAGAAAAGTAAAGGTCCCTTTTCCAGGCCTTTAGGCCCTTAGGGTATTTAGGGCTAGACCTATATTTGTATAGACCATTTGGCACAAGATGGGTGATGTGGTCAGCAGCACGCCAGCCGCATTTACTTCCCAGGACTGCACCTGGTACCCACTCAAGGCAGGATCAACCTGGGAGTCAAGGTTATTTATGAAAAAAAGTAAAAAATCTGGCTCCGCCAAGTAGCAAACCCATGACCTTCTGATCTGCACGGGAGCGCCTAGCCACTACGCCACAGCAACTCCGTTTTGTCCGTTATTGTTAGGACTGTTTTCTGGCAGTATCTAATGATACCCAGCCCTAGCTTCTTGTTAAGGCATAATTTTTTATTTTTTAGCGGTATGTAATACACACTTTATGGCAAGTACCTTCACCCTCATTTAGCCACTCTATGGTCATTACTGGCACCTTTTTTGTGTGTAGACCAATCATAGCTGTTGGCAGTGGCATAGCGGCTAGTCACTCATGTGTCGATCGGAAGGTCATGGATTCGCCCCCTGGCAGAGCCTAACTCTTTTTTAATGACCTTGACTCCCAGGTTGACCCAATCTTGAGAGGGCACTCGGTGCTGTCCTGGGAAGTAAATGTGGCCTGCGTGATGCTGAGGCGTAGAAAAGGGACCTTTACTTTTATATTACCGTAGTGGTGGGGGTAGGACCACATATTACCCTGGTGGTGGGGTAGGACCACATATTACCGTAGTGGTGGGGGTAGGACCACATATTACCGTAGTGGTGGGGGTAGGACCACATATTACCGTAGTGGTGGGGGTAGGGCCACATATTACCGTAGTGGTGGGGGTAGGGCCACATATTACCGTAGTGGTGGGGGTAGGGCCACATATTACCGTAGTGGTGGGGGTAGGGCCACATATTACCGTAGTGGTGGGGGTAGGGCCACATATTACCGTAGTGGTGGGGGTAGGACCACATATTACCGTAGTGGTGGGGGTAGGACCACATATTACCGTAATGGTGGGGGTAGGACCACATATTACCGAAGTGGTGGGGGTAGGACCACATATTACCGTAGTGGTGGGGGTAGGACCACATATTACCGTAGTGGTGGGAGTAGGACCACATGTTACCGTAGTGGTGGGGGTAGGACCACATACTACCATAGTGGTGGGGGTAGGACCATATTTTACCGTAGTGGTGGGGGTAGGACCACATATTACTGTAGTGATGGGGGTAGGACCACATATTACTGTAGTGGTGGGGGTAGGACCACTATTTCCATAGTGGTGGGCGTAGGATTACATATTACCGTAGTGGTGGGGGTAGGACCACATGTTACTGTAGTGGTGGGGGTAGGACCACATATTACCATAGTGGTGGGGGTAGGGCCACATATTACCGTAGTGGTGGGGGTAGGACCACATATTACCGTAGTGATGGGGGTAGGACCACATATTACCATAGTGGTGGGGGGTAGGACCACATATTACCGTAGTGGTGGGCGTAGGACCACATATTACTGTAGTGGTGGGGGTAGGACCACATATTACCATAGTTATGGGGGTAGGACCCCATATTACCGTAGTGGTGGGGGTAGGACCACATATTACCGTAGTGTTGGGGGTAGGATCACATATTACCCTGGTGATGGGGGTAGGACCACATATTACCCTGGTGGTGGGGGTAGGACCACATGGCTAGTACAGCTGTCACAGACAGTGCAAGCTAGGATGTTTTTTTTTTCTTCTCATACAGATCCCAGCTGCGGGCCATGCGCCTTGCGTTGGTTTTGACAGTGGTATCAAGAAAGCCAACCGTCCAGAAAGCAATGGCAAACTACTGGACGTAAATTTGCATAGAAAGACCACACAACAGCCAGTGGCTGTTGAGGTTGGTTCTGCAACTTCCTGCAAAGGATACACAACTAACCTTCCAAATGAGGGTCCAGCATATATAAGAGTTCAGCCAACCGCTCTTCAGTAAACCTTATACACAAACATTAATTTTAGAGTTTTCATTTATTCACTCATCGTCCTATTGTGCCATTATATGTCACATAGGGCTCTCAGTCGATTTACCCATCTGTTTTATCATGTGCAATCACTCTTATGCAATGGGTGGAATCAAGTTAAACATCTTTGGCTTCTCTTATCAACATTTAGCTTAAGGTTTCTCTTGGATATCCTTGTTTTCTCAATCCCTGAATTTCATATTTCAGTCTGGTAGTCTGCTAGTCTTAGTTTCAGCTTCATAGCAAATGGGTCACCCCATCTTTGCTCCGCTCCTGTGCCAACAAAAAACACACAGAATGTTTATCACAGTCCCTTGTGAAAAGATTGACAGACTGCTGTCTCAGTATATCTAACATGCACTTGCATTAAAGCATACGGTAGCCATCCGAAGTGCTAACACAAACAGTCCAACATTAGAAATGCAGTTCATCATTGATGATAGCAGAACTTGTCGCCAACAGATCAGCAGTTGCCCACGCGATCAATTTTAATCACATACGGGAACCGCCAACATTGCACGACAGGCATCGCGCCATTTTCTGTTTAATGAAATTTTTTAACTTTACATACACTAAAATTTGCATACAAACATTTCACAGTAAATCTTGCGTAGAAACATTTCACAGTAAATCTTGCATACCAACACACTTTGTTCACATTTTTTTTTAAAGTCAGAGAAAACAAACCAACCATCAAATCCTCTTTCTCCAGGTACACCATCGTCACCCGGAGATCCTGGATTCCCACGATCTCCTTTTGGTCCTGGCAGAGCTTGGCCAGGTGGTCCAGCTTCTCCTTGGCGACCTTGACAATAGGGAAATTAAGCCGTTTATTAACTTCACATATCAAATTGGGATTCTAGCTAGAGGGGATCAATGCCCTTTGTGAGACAGTAGACAATGCAAAGACACGAATAGACACTATGTTCTGGAAAGAATGATTCAGCTAGGAGTTGATAATCCCCACTGAGAGGAAAGGTAAGATAGACATATAATAAAACTGTTACTGGCATTACCAGAACAAGAACTTGCAAAAGATGATTACCATATAATGAATAAACCAAAGTAAGTAATTATTCTATGACATAGAACAGGACACTGATGACTTCACAGCCAGATTTACACAAAAATTAAGACTGGCCAATCAGTCATGTGTACATGTGGATTAGCACCTGAGAAAACAGATCACGTCCTCCAAGAATGTCCAGAATACAACATATCAAGACAAAACCTTTGGCCAAGAGAAACATCGATGCAAGCCAAACCTTACCGGTCGCAAATTGAATTTTAACAGATAGTAAGGTTCACACTAGACACACCACGGCAGATATAGTTAATCTATTTCAAGCGAATGAAAGAAACAGAAAAACCAGAACTCTATGCTGACTGCTGAAGATGAGGATAGAGTGCTTATGGGAACGTTCGGAGTACTGTGATGTTGGTTTTTAGTGGAACACTCAACACAACAATCATATTAAAATGCAGCCACTCGTTCTACATATTCCTGCTTCTTTTCCTTCTTCATAAATCATTAGCAATGAACCTGAACACATCTGACTCTTTCTGTTCATAAGTTTAAAAACTTTTAGAGGCTATAGAAACTATTTCACTGTGTCTGGTTTTAGCCTATATGACCCAGTCTCTCTGGACAGAATGCTTAGATACTTGCCAAGTGAAACATGAAAAGACAGCATAAACTCCATGGCTCCTAAAGATATTAAAGGATCTTTGTAAAAATGCATTCATGAACAGAACAATGCATCAAAAATTAACTGCACAGCTCAAAGCAAATAGCTTCGTGTAGGCATGAAGACCCGAAAGCAAACCAAGATGAAAGAAAGCTCTTTGCCGTAAAGAAATATTATGTAGTGTATAGGAAGCTTGAACCGTGTTGTGCATGCTGGGAATACTAAAAAAAAAAAAAAAGGTTCATAAACCTGCTGGAATTCCCAAAACATCCTTTAAAACAAAATAATTGTTTAAACAGGTCACTACTAAATTAATTCTTTAACAAAAATGTATCTATGTACACTGAAATGAAATTTTTTTTTGGTTTTTTTTTTGGGGGGGGAGGGGGGGGGGGTTAAGGGAGTATAAAGGGAGTAATCAATAAACATAGACAGTGTGGAGCATGAAATGGAATACATTTCCCTGAGCCTTAAAAAATTATGTATCACTTGACTCCTCTTGTGACCCTGACCTCTCATAGCAATACAACAGGAATGTTATGACATCAACATAGCTTTTAAAAAAAAAAGCTTTTAGTTCACCAGAATACCTCCCTAAATACTATTTTTAGTAAATATGTTCATACTCCGACCTCCTAAATGCTGTACAGGCATGAGCCCATCAGTCAAGAAAGGTCGTTTAAGTGACATTTATGGGGAATTGGACCAGATGGAAAATTTTACTAGGGGCAACAGGGTTAAGGAGTCTCTTTCACAGACTTTATTATTTTACTTTGGAAAATCTCCAGAACTTGAACAAGAGATGTTAAAACTATGTTTACTTGTATTTAAAATAAAAAAAAAAAAAAAAAAAAACCTCAACAACAAAACAAACAAAAAACAAGGGTAATAATATGGAGAAGACACTACAGAAGCTTCAGAATATGTCAAAAGATATAACAGCTTGTCATCGGAAGGTTGACGTCTTATAATGAAGAGTCGAAAATTGTATCCCTATGTGGGTTCTGGGGTCCCACTGTGGGAAAAACAAGAACGGACCCACTGCCTCCCTAACAAGCATGTCACAAGTGTGGAATAATTAAAGGCTTTCTCTGAAGTTGGAGTGCATCTATCTGAAAGGCAAGGAACTAACAATCCGCAGACAAATAAGCCAGATCTGTAAAATAAATGTGCATGCAACACTCAAGTTCTGGAGCAAGACTTAAATCCAGAAACGGACGAACAACCTGAACCTTTCACCAGAGCTTACAGCTCAGCTAATGTGAAGGAGAAGAGGTGAAAATAGCAGAGGAACAAAGATGAAAACTTACCATCTGCCCCAGGCAATCCTGGTAGTCCGGCATCACCTTTGGGTCCAACCAGTCCTGGAAAACCAGGCAATCCTGGCTTACCTTTGTCTCCTCTTGGGCCATTAAGTCCTGGAGAACACAAGCTGTAAAAGTTAGTTTCCGCAACTTCCATCTTGGACTCTACTTCAATAAATGATAGTTTCAATACTTGTAACTTCCACATCTCCAAAATTACAAAGTCCCTCAATAAGTAATAATTTTTATGTTTATAGTTTCCACAACTTCCTGACTGCACTTTTACTGAATAAATAATTGTATGTCTATATGAAGCTCTCTTCAACTCCCATCTTATACTGCTCCTCAACAAGTAATGGTTTTTATACTTGGAAGTTCCTAGATATCCCATATTTCATATATTCTCTTTCACTCTTTCTCTCTCCTTCTCTCTCTCTCTCTCTCTCTCTCCTTCTCTTTCTCTCCCTCTCTCTCTCTCAATAAATAATGGTATTTATACTTGTAATTTCCACAGCTCCCATCTTACACATCTCTAAATAATAAAGGTTTTTTTTTTTTATTTCCACAGCTCCCATTTTACATTTTACCTAAATAAATCCTGGTTTTCACATTAGTTTGCAAAGCTTGTATCTTATTTCTCTCAATAAATAATGGCTTTTACATTTGTAGTAATTTCTCTCCCTCGGTAAATAAAGGTGAAAACATTATGTGTATTTTCCCCAGCATCCTGTCTTATTCTCCCTCAATAATTATGATGTTTATTTGTGTAGTTTCCATAGCTCCCATCTCAAACTCTCCCTCAATAATTATGGTGTTTATACTCGTAGTTTCCATAGCTCCTATCTCACACTTACTCAACAATTATGGTGTTTATACTTGAAGTTTTCACAGCTCCCATCTTACACACTCTCTCAACAAAAAAACAGTGTTTATACTTGTAATTTCCACAGCTCCTATCTCACACACTCTCTCAACAATAATGATATTTATACTCGTAGTTTCCACAGCTACCATCTTACACTCTCTAAATAAATGGTATTTATACCTGTAGTTTCAAAGCACCTGCCTTAAGCTCTCCCTCAATAAATAATGATTTTTATACTCATAGTTTCCAAGCTTCTATGTTACACTCTTCCTCACTGAAGAAGGATATATATATATATATATATATATATATATACACTATTTTCCACAGCTCCTATCAAGCTCTTTGTAACTTTAACAAAAATCAGCAATATCTCACTATTCCAACTCACCTTTAGGACCGTCTAATCCAGGAAGTCCATTTTCTCCACCATCACCTTTCAGGCCAGGAGTGCCAGGTAAACCCGGAGCTCCAGAGTCACCTGGCAATACAAATATTGTTTGTAAAGTTTAATTTACAACTGAACTTACACTCCTAATGCAACAATATGTATCAATGCAAACACTCTTATTTAGCTCTATGTGGAATTCATACTTTTATCTAGAGCTGAAACATGGAGAACAACTACCAAAAAAATTCAAACATCCATAAACGGGTGCTTACACAGAATACAAGGAATTAAATGGTATGCAGAATCACTACTGTAGAGCTCTGAGAAAAAGTATTTCAGGATCATCGCCTGTGCTACAGAGTTCGTGCACTGCGCTGAGATTCTTCGGACTCAGACTTGAAGCACTTATTGGTCACTACCCTTGTGCCGTGATGTTGATCCATTGTTTAAACATCAACTATTAAACCTTATCTGAGAAAGAACTAAACAAAGTTCTGTAAACAAGAAGTCAGGAAAAGATGCAACAGAGGTAAACCTAACAGTAATATAACTTGAATGTCCATGCAATGGAACCAGCAGGGTAAAAGGAATAAAGGCAAATCAAAAAAGCAAATAGAAAATGGTATTGGAGACATAAATGAAAAAAAGGGGGAGGATATGGGGTGAGCTTCTGGTGAGGACATGGAGTGACCTACAGGTAAGGACATGGGGTTAGCTTCAGGTGAGGACATGGGGTGACCTACAGGTAAGGACATGGGGTGAGCTACAGGTGAGGACATGGGGTGACCTACAGGTGAGGACATGGGGTGAGCTACAGGTGAGGACATGGGGTGAGCTACAGGTAAGGACATGGGGTGAGCTACAGGTGAGGACATGGGGTGAGCTACAGGTGAAGACATGGAGTGAGCTATAGGTGAGGACATTGGGTGACCTACAGGTAAGGACATTAGGTGAGCTACACGTGGGGACATGGGGTGAGTTTCAGGTGAGGACATTGGGCGAGCTTCAGGTGAGGACATGGGGTGAGCTACAGGTAATTACATGGGGTGAGCTACAGGTGAGGACATGGATTGAGCTACAGGTGAGGACATGGGGTGAGCTACAGGTGAGGACATGGGGTGAGCTACAGGTGAGGTGACATGAGCTACATGTGAGGGGTGAGCTACAGGTGGGGACATGGGGTGAGCTGAGGACAGGTGAGGACATGTGGTGAGCTTCAGGGTGAGGACATGGGGTGAGCTACAGGACATGGGGTGAGCTACACATGGGGTGACCTACAGGTGGGGTGAGCTACAGGTGAGGGTGACATGGGGTGAGCTACAGGTGAGGACATGGGGTGAGCTACAGGTGAGGACATGGGGTGAGCTATAGGTGAGGACATGAGGTGAGCTACAGGTGAGGACATGGGGTGAGCTACAGGTGAGGACATGACATGGGTGAGCTACAGGTGAGGACATGGGGTGAGCTACAGGTGAGGACATGGGGTGAGCTACAGGTGAGGACATGGGGTGAGCTACAGGTGAGGACATGGGGTGAGCTACAGGTGAGGACATGGGGTGAGCTACAGGTGAGGACATGGGGTGAGCTACAGGTGAGGACATGGGGTGAGCTTCAGGTGAGGACATTGGGCGAGCTTCAGGTGAGGACATGGGGTGAGCTACAGGTAATTACATGGGGTGAGCTACAAGTGAGGACATGGGGTGAGCTACAAGTGAGGACATGGGGTGAGCAACAAGTGAGGACATGGGGTGACCTACAAGTGAGGACATGGGGTGAGCTACAAGTAATTACATGGGGTGAGCTACACGTGAGGACATGGGGTGAGCTACAGGTAATTACATGGGGTGAGCTACAGGTGAGGACATGGGGTGAGCTACAGGTAAGTACATGGGGTGAGCTACAGGGGAGGACATGGGGTGAGCTACAGGTAATTACATGGGGTGAGCTACAAGTAATTACATGGGGTGAGCTACAGGTGAGGACATGGGGTAAGCTACAGGTGAGGACATGGGGTGAGCTACAGGTGAGGACATGTGGTGACCTACAGGTGAGGACATGGGGTGAGCTACAGGTGAGGACATTGGGTGAGCTTCAGGTGAGGACATGGGGTGAGCTACAAGTAATTACATGGGGTGAGCTACAGGTGAGGACATGGGGTGACCTAAAGGTGAGGACATGGGGTGAGCTACAGGTGAGGACATGGGGTGACCTACAGGTGAGGACATTGGGTGACCTACAGGTGAGGACATGGGGTGAGCTACAGGTGAGGACATGGAGTGAGCTACAGGTGAGGACATGGGGTGACCTAAAGGTAAGGACATTGGGTGAGCTACAGGTGATAGCAGAAGACGTAGGACAGCTTAGGTTGAGTATAGGCACACTGAACTGAGAATTTTAAGGGAGACAGAAGGCATCATGAGTTTATTTTTTCAGTCATGATATCATTTCTCAACTCCTTGTAGTCCATCCCTTTGTTTTATTACTCTACCCAGAAGATGTATCTTGATTAGACTTCTTCTTCTTCTTTCGTTCGCCTGAAATAAGTTGTCTATGTCAGCAATTTTGTTTCTTGTACAAATTTCACTGTTGTTTTTAGTTCATTCAGTAGTCCATAGAGATTACATTCCACTGTTGTTCTTTCTGGCCAAAAGGTTTGCTTTAATTTTTCAAATTTGGTTCAGTCCTGGAGCACATGCTCTGCTGTCTGGGGCCTTTTCACAGATGCACATGGCTGATTCACCTAACTTGAATTTTACGTACATGTGGTTATATAAGCGGCTGTGCCCTGTTCTCAGGTAAAGGGTAATGACTTGTTCTGATTCGTCCATGATTAAATAGTCATCTTGTGCTGGGGCTGGTGGTTTTCTGATTGATTTTATGATCCTTTTCTTTTGGTGGTATGTAACTGGTACATCCGGATGCTCTTTTTCCGTACTTTCCCCCGCCAATTGACCAGCTTTCTCATTTCCAGACACTCCACTAAAAAAAAGGGGGGTATCCACTGCATTGCGACTCTTAGCTGAAGGCTGAGTTGTGTCAGCAGTGACTGCAATTCTATTAGTTTTCCAGACTGGAGTGCTTCAAGTACAGATTTTTGATTTGTTAGCATTACCACAGACTGTGAGCCAAGGTTGATTGACACCAATGATGTTTCGTCTAATCAAACATTAATCTTGCCTAAGTTCTGAGCCCTGAGTACTGGCCTGATTTTTTGGTCATTTCCTGTTGCATCAGACCACGAAAATCTGTTAGCTCATCCACATTGTTTCACTCCCAAGCGACCCTAACCACATCTGCTTTACCATGTGTCAATTCACTATTCAGTGGTTCAACCGGTCTAACTGTTTATTTCCCAAATCACCAGCAAGCCACGGAGGAAAGACCCACAACCTCTGAAGCGGCGCATGCTACTCTGCCTGTGAATCACTTTTCTGGCAAGCTTTAGGAATCCATTAAAATCATGACATGTGAGTACAACTTGCTCTCCAGTCAGTGGAAAAGTAGTTCTCCAAAAGTACAAGTGTTAACAAAGAATTAACCCTTGTGAGGGTTCTCCAAAAGTACAAGAGTTAACAAAGAATTAACCCTTGTGTGGGTTCTCCAAAAGTACAACATTTAACAAAGAATTAACCCTTGTGTGGGTTCTCCAAAAGTACATTTAACAAAGGATTAACCCTTGTGTGGGTTCTCCAAAAGTACAACATTTAACAAAGAATTAACCCTAGTGTGGGTTCTCCAAAAGTACAACATTTAACAAAGAATTAACCCTTGTGTGGGTTCTCCAAAAGTACAACATTTAACAAAGAATAAACCCTTGTGTGGGTTCTCCAAAAGTACACCATTTAACAAAGAATTAACCCTTGTGTGGGCTCTCCAAAAGTACAACATTTAACAAAGAATTAACTCTTGTGTGGGTTCTCCAAAAGTACAACATTTAACAAAGAATTAACCCTTGTGTGGGTTCTACAAAAGTACAAGAGTTAACAAAGAATTAACCCTTGTGTGGGTTCTCCAAAAGTACAACATTTAACAAAGAATTAACCCTTGTGTTGGTTCTCCAATAGTACAAGAGTTAACAAAGAATTAACCCTTGTGTGGGTTCTCCAATAGTACAAGAGTTAACAAAGAATTAACCCTTGTGTGGGTTCTTCAAAAGTACAAGAGTTAACAAAGAATTAACCCTTGTGTGGGTTCTAAGGCCCCACCGAAGCAAAAACAAGAATAGAACCCTGCTTCAACAAATGTGTCATAAGAGTCGATTAACTTGGAAGCTCAAAGGCAGAGTGCATCTACCTGAGAGGCAAGGAACCAACAGTCTGCATACAAATAAGCCAGTTCTGTAAAACGGATATGCATGCAACACTCTGATTCTAGAATGAGACTAAAGTCTAGAGGAGGATGAATAACCAGAAATTTATACGAAAGCTTACAGCTGGTGAATGCGAAGAAGAAGAACAAAGAATCAACGATCCTAATCTAAAAGAATTCTACAAATGCAATGGTGCCTGGCCATCATTTCCCTCATTCACAAAAACGTTTTAAACATCCACAAGAACTGATTTTTCAATTACCTTTTGGTCCAAGAAAACCTTTATCTCCCTTAGGGCCTGGTATTCCTGGCAATCCATCGTACCCAGGGTCACCTCTTTCACCTTTGACACCAGAATATGCAGGTCCTAAAAGGCAGGGGGAAAAAAAAAAAAACATGAAGGGGTGAAGCTGTAGAATGCAACAGAACAATATATTCAACAAATTAAGTATGTTTTCATGTTAAACGGTGAAGCAATAGAATGGGACAGAAAAATGTATTCAACAAATCAAGAATATTTTAATGTTTAACTGTGAAGCAATAGAATATAAAAGAAAAATGTATTTAACAAATTAAGTATTTTATCATGTTTAGCCGTGAAGAAACAGAACCTAACAGAAAAATGTATTAAAAAAATTAAGTATTTTTGTATGTTTAACCTGTGAAGCAATAAAACGTGACAGAAAAATGCATTCAACATATTAGGTATATTTTCATGTTTAGCCCTACTGCCCCGCGAAAGCCATTTTCCCAGCTTTTACAGGTTTTTGTTGATATGACATCTTAGGACAGTGCTTATATGACAACTTTAGTACTGTTTAATATGTAGATAAGATGGGTGTTCATAATGTATACCCCCCCCCCCACACCCAAAAAAAAGTTTAAGATATTATTTGGGGTGAAAACAATAGATTTTAAAATAAATTTTAATGTCACGGCGACATCATATAATTTTATAATGGTGTGGCACTGCTATCAGTGGCAAAGTGACCAAAACCCCCATTAAATGTTCAAATGTAACTAAATTGGTTAATTCTTTGCTCTGTTCATATTTAATGATTACTTCCTTCACGAAGAAATAAACCTTGTACTGATTAAGACTTTCAGTGACCAACAACTTTTTTTTCCCCCTTTTTTTTTTCTCCCTAAATGGGATCTCAGTACCCACATGGGAAAAACATAAATTAAAACACAAATCAACATAAATTTTTTGCAGTCCACAGACAAAATAATTTTTTTTTTTTTTTTTTTTGCCGTTCACATGCAAAATCTATTTTTGCAGTTCACAGACAAAATAAATTTTTTTTTGCAGTTCACAGACAAAATTAATTTTTGCAGTCCACACACACACACACAAAATTCTGCAGTCCACTGACAAAAGTTTTTTTTTTTTTTTTTTTTTTTTTGCAGTTTCAAAGAAAACTTTTTTTTTGTTGCTAGTCTCAAAGACAAAATAATTTTGTTTTGCAGTCCCACAGACAACATTTTTTATTTGAAGTACCGCAGACGAAACTGAAAATTGTGATCATAATGACAAGCATACACATACCTGGGTCACCCTTTGCACCATTTTGGCCAGGCAATCCTGGAAATCCGTATAAGCCAGGTAATCCACGGTCACCAGGTTCGCCTGGAATATAAATGCCATCGTCTCCTCTATCCCCTGGTTGACCTGGGTCTCCGGGTAGACCTGCACGACCTGTAAGTCCGGGGTAACCCTTAGGTCCCTGTGTTTAGATCATGACAATAGATGGTGTTAAATTATAACAATTATTTTATATATATATATATATATAAAATTATGACCTATGGAAGTGAGTAATGGGCAATGACAACAGCTCACAGAAGCCAGCTTCAGGCCTCATATTCATTTCAATTAAGTCATCTCCTTGTGAGATGAAATTTTTCATTATTTTGGAAGCCCCACCCTAGCTCTTGCCAGGGGTCGCAATATAGCCCAGCCATAAATGATGGTCTTATGGCTGAAAGCTGTTTCTGGGACCTCTCCATGGGTGATCCTCATCCACATAGTGGCACTTTGTTTATCACTTTTGTGATGTCCTAGTGGGGTAAAAATCTAACACTACTAATTCAGGCCACAAAAATGAAATATCTGTGAAAGGTGATACAAGAGACAATAAGGGACAAAGTCTGCAACCAGACAAAATATCAGAATTGTGAAAACCCAGGCCTTACAAACTCGAGTAGATCAGTTACAGTAACGATAGCTGGACAATTATGCAGTATGGAAGAGAATGGGCTACAACGGCAGGCCAGAAAAGAGGATACTAGAGTGACCCAGAATTCTCTGGGAAGGCAACATCGGACTGACAAAGGACTGGAACTTTTTTTTCTCGCTGGGTCAGTCTCCCCTCACAGGGGAAACCATCGGGCGCTGAGTTTGAATGGCTCATGCTGTGAAAGTTACTCCCATGATTTCGGGACCGATCCTGGCACTTTTGGCCAAACCAGTGCAGCAGAGGTACGCTTTGATCTTAGTCAAAAAGCCGAGATGCAATGGAAGAAAGCCATACAAAAATATCACTGATAGAGAAATCTGATGGAAAAAAGTGATCTCTCTGGCAAACCTCTACACTCCAAGGTAGATGTGTAGTGAGGATGATTTGTCAATTAACTATTTATACTATAAATCACAAACCCTTTCATTTGTCATTTTGACTACAATGTTTGATCTAACTGTCAAAGTTTCTATAACAGGTTATTGTGAGTTTATATGAAAGGTTACAGTGCATTTCTTTATTCATTGCGATAATCAGTAAAAGTCAACTTTTGATGGTGTTATATCACATTTAACATTTTTCTCCTATTACTTCCTTTGCCTTGAAAAAAAAAAATTTTTAAATTATTATATTTTGCTGTTATCTTCCTTGAAAAGTCTGAGAGAATGTTAAATACTCGTGTTATTATGCTTGTCAGTATTAGAGGGGATGCCTCTGATGCACTTTGAGGCAATGACTAAAGATTCAGCAGAAGTGGAGACAAAGAAGAAGTAGAAGACAGGTTATTAAATAAAGGGTTTTAGTTAGACCCCTATTTCCTCTAGGCCTACATATAGTTGGAGACCAAGATGTGGTAGAGGACGGGAAAATGAGATTTTCTTTCACTACCTGGGCAATTCAATCTAGTATTAAATAATCCAGTAATAGCTAAACCAATCGTCTCAACTGTATACTTTAAAGTTGTTTAAAATGTCATTAATATAACATTGAATTTTTTTTTTTAAATGGGGTGTTTGATCCTTCTTTATCTCTTTTTAGCTCTCATCAATGCGACATGGTTAAACCATCTGTCTCACACTCTGAAGGTCTTGGATTTGATATCAGACTCCATTCTTTATTCCACAAGTTATGTGCTTTGTGTGACACTCTTGGCAACAGAACAGCTACCCTCATGATCATCCTGTACCATACCAATAAGCGAAGGCTGTTATTTTTTTGCCACCTGACATGATCCTCAGAATCATGGATCAGCTCAGTGGTCTTGCCACTCCAAACTTCTTCATTCACATGGCCAAACCATCGAGGTATTTATCTCTTTGCCCTATCCTGGCTCTCTAGCGTAGTTGGTTAACTTTGGTTGACTTTGCAGTGACCGAGTGATGAACTCCTTGTGGTCCGGGTTCACTCCCGGGGGTAGGCAGAAAAGCTACATTTTCTCCCAGATTTACGGCACCTCTCATGGAATCAAGGCCGAAGGGTGGCAATATCCATAGTACCGAGCCAATGGGTTAACAACTCATGGTTTCTGGATTTTTTTTTTTTTTATAAAAAAAAAAATCTCTTTGCCTTCCGCTGGCTCTTGTTTTTTTCTCCATTAGTCTTGCCAGTCGTCACCAAGTTCTCACATCCATTCCATCTCATATCAGCCTCTCCCCACCAATTTTCATTCAACTTCTAATTCTCTTCTCCCTTAGTTTAAAATGGGCAATATACTGGTAGACTTAATTTTCCAAGAAGTCATTATGCTCCTGTTTACAAGTTGCAGATTTGTGCAAAATTCCTCCACTGAATGTTCGTTCAACTTACAACCACTGTGTTAATTTGTGAGTGAATTAATAAATTTTCTGCGCTGCCTGTTAAAAAAAAAATTTTTTTGTACGCTTACAACTGAGTCAGTTATGTACATGTTTTTTTTTTTTTAAGTTATGCTCACAATTTATTATTTTAAATTATTATTGTGCCCATGGATTATTATTTCAAATTATTACTTGTGAAATTATTCCCACCATTTAGTTTAATCCCAACAGAACTGTATAATGGGCGACTGACATTCAGTGACACAAAATGCCCCCATTCAGATGAGAATCAACCAAAAGAAGTCCCAGAAACTCTGTTCAGCTGTTAGGTTATATAAGGGTTTCTGTCTATAGCCAGGGTGAGACATTGAAATAACAAAATACTGTGTCTCACACAAGAACAGAACATGCCCACTATTTATTATTTCAAATTATTATTTATTAAATTATACCCCTCATTATTCTTCTTCTATACGTTGTGAGATATATCTCGTGTGACCTGCAACATGCTCTTTTGGGGCTTCAACCATAGACACTTTGTGGTGCTGTAGAGTTTCTCTGAGGTTATCTTTCCATTTGTGCTTGGTCTACCTCTTGATTTATGTCCTTATCCTCTTTTGGTATATGCCTTGTATGGTATGGCATCAGAAAGCCTTTTCTCCAAGTGGGTAAACCCTTTGATTTGCTGTCTTTGTATGTAATTTAGAATTGGTTCTGTGCTGACTTTATCTTGTGTGACCTCATTGCTGATTTTATCTCTTCTGCTCACTCCTAGTCTTTCTCAGACACCTCATTTCCATGGTTACTAATTTTCTTTAATGTTATGTTGTGAATGACCACGTCTGGCACTGGTAGCATAGGGTGGGAATAAATATGCTTTGTATGAGATGTTTTTTTGTGCTGTTTAGAATTGACTTATGCTTTAGGACAAAGACAGTGTGATAACTAGCTGTCCCAATAGTTAGCCTGCTTGACTGCATCAGATGTTAATTTCTTCGCTCAGTTTACCATCTTCAGTGAATGTTGTTCCAAGTTATTTGAACTCAGATGCCTGTTTGATATATGTATGCTCCAAATGGAGTTCTATGGACTGTGAAACTAAGCAGCAACAACTTTCAGAAAAGAAAGTCCATGGGTGGGTTCCGGGGTCCCAAGTGGGTGTGGGGGAGGAGGTGTTTGAGAACAGCAGACCTATTATCCCACGACCAGGCCTCAGTAAAAGTTGACTAATTAGGGGGGTTTCCTTCAAAAGGCAGAGTGCATCTGCCTGACAGGCAAGGAACCAACAGTCTGCACATCAGAGTTTACAACCGGTAAACACTAGGAAGAAGAGATAAGAAGTAGTACTTACTGGATCTCCTTTTGGTCCAGGGAAACCTGGTGAGCCAGGAAGTCCTGGAGGTCCTAGAGGTCCCGGTGGGCCAAGTTCTCCAGGTAATCCAGGTATGCCAATGTCTCCTTTCGGACCTGAGGAATTAAAAGCACAGAGAGTTAAACAATATTTCACTGTGTGGGTTCTGGGGTGCTTCCTTCAAAGTCAGAGTCATTCTGCCTGAGAGACAAGAAACCAACAGTCTGCATACAAAATTCCGGCTCTCTAGCGTAGTTGGCTAAACTGGATTGCACGGTGACCGGTTGACGAACTCCTTGTGGTCCGGGTTTAATCTCAGGGGTAGGCATAAAATCCACATTTCTCCCAGATTTACTGTAATTATCATAAAATCAAGGGCGAGCCTAAGGGTTAACAACTCATGGCTTCTGGATGCTAAAATAAACAAAACAAACAAACAGTATACAAAAAAGCCAGATCTGTTAACTGCCTGCATCAGAAGGTGGCATTCTTCAGCCATGTCATGAGAAAGAGAAACAGGGAGTAGATCATGACAGTGGGAAAATTGGAGGGTGCAAGAGGCAAAGGAAGGCTGAGACAGAAGATGCTGGACAGTATGATAACATGGCAGGGAAGACCATCTGTGTCAGAACTGACTGAAAGTACATGAGAAGAAGGTTTTGGCTTGACATGACTACCAACACAAGAAGGTTTTGGGTTGACATGACTACCAACACAAGAAGGTTTTGGGTTGACATGACTACCAACACAAGAAGGTTTTGGGTTGACATGACTACCAACACAAGAAGGTTTTGGGTTGACATGACTACCAACACAAGAAGGTTTTGGGTTGACATGACTACCAACACAAGAAGGTTTTGGGTTGACATGACTACCAACACAAGAAGGTTTTGGCTTGACATGACTACCAACACAAGAAGGTTTTGGGTTGACATGACTACCAACACAAGAAGGTTTTGGCTTGACATGACTACCAACACAAGAAGGTTTTGGGTTGACATGACTACCAACACAACCAGCAAAAAAAAAGTTTTTGGGTTGACATGACTACCAACACAACCAGCAAAAAAAAAAAGGTTTTGGGTTGACATGACTACCAACACAACCAACACATGAAGGTTTTGGGTTGACATGACTACCAACACAACCAGAAAAAAAAAGGTTTGGGGTTGACATGACAACCAACACAACCAACACAAGAAGGTTTTGGGTTGATATGACTACCAACACAACCAACACAAGAAGGTTTAAGGTTGAAATGACTACCAACATAACCAACACAATTATGGCATGGAGTATAAGAAGAAGTAGCCCTACGTTATTTAATGATGTTGCTGATTTATAAGATCATACCAAGACTTTTTTGAAAATTGCTGGCATTTAGGTCAGCATGATTTTTACACATGAATGATCACAGAGATTCTAACAGACGTTATGACCCCTGCAAAAACAGAACGGTGAATCATGATTTGCAATATAAACCAAAAACTCAAGTAAGCAAAAGACCTATGGAGCATGTGATCATCCAACAAAAAAATGGAAGCACAGATAGAATACAGAAATAGTAAAGCAAACCAAATCCAGCAAGTAAGTAAATTTTCCCCAACCAGTACATCACACAGAGCGATAAACACCCGGTGACACAAAGTGCCACCATGTGGATGAGGATCACTCATCAGGCTATATTGCAGCCCCTGGCAAATGCCACGATGGCGCTTCAAAATAACGAAAAATGTGCATTCCACATGGGAATGACCTTTTTGAGATTAACCAAATCTATTGACAGATGTTACTGATATTGCAGACAAAACATGTAACAATCGAAACTAAAACTATTCAGTACTGTTTTTTTTACCAGCATGTGTTACCGGCACCAATCACAGACTTTAACAACAAAAAGAAAACTAGAAATAAAGGATGGGAAAATCTATGATTAATTCCAAATATGAGAAAAAGAGACTGGATCAAAAATGGTAGTGTCAGGAAAGAAGCTGGGTTTGACCCAGTGCTAAATTACATCCAGAGACAACAGATCACATAATCTGGAAATATTCAAGCCTGCCACAAGATAGTGCGCCTGCTGAACACAAGAAAAGCGGAGCCAGAGATTGCCATGCAAGCAATGGATAGATGGAATGTCCAAGGCTGAGAATGCTAGTATCAAATCCAAAACTCGATGCCTCTGTAAAACCTTACACTGGACAGCAAAACATTAAACAACAATAAGAAGAGGAAGAAGAAGAAGATGAAGAAGAAGAAGGACAGAACAGGACTTGAGATAAGAAGAAGAAAAAGATCACAGGGATTTCATAGACATGAAAGTCAATCATACACAGAGTACTCACCTGGGGCTCCACTTATAACTTGATCAAATGCTGGCTCTCCTTTCTGGCCTTCCCTCCCAGGTAACCCATTCTGTCCATCAAGACCCTAGGAAAAATATATTTTACAATCAGTACTGAATACGATGGGAGTCGCAGTAACACTACAACTGGAAACTGGCCTGTCAGCATTGCAGTAACACTTTAGCTGGGGCCTGTCAGCATTGCAGTAACACTTTAACTGGAGGCCTGTCAGCATTGCAGTAACACTTTAGCTGGGACCTGTCAGCACTGCAGTAACACTTTAGCTGGGACCTGTCAGCACTGCATAACACTTTAACTGGAGGCCTGTCAGCATTGCAGTAACACTTTAACTGGGGGCCTGTCAGCATTGCAGTAACACTTTAGCTGGGGACTGTCAGCAATGCAGTAACACTTTAGCCGGGGGCCTGCTAGCTAGTACAAAGTTCTTGGATTCTTCTTTATAATCATCCGTCCAAGTAACGTGAATGCACTGTGCCTGGTCTAAAGCATAGTTGTAATATTTGTGTCCTTTGGCCAACACATCGAGCTTCTTCGGGAATTTGTTACCTGGATTAGCCTTCCTAGTTAGTTTCATGTGACATTTGTAGTCTCATCTGAGTGGTGACCTTTTCATACCTTGATCCATGGATGCTGTCCCCAGAGGAGTGCATAAAGACATGATGAGGATGAATTTTGTAATTTTAATGACAATTTTTCTCTTTAACAAATATTAACCTGTAGTATCTGTGGTAGCAGTTGTAACAGTAGTAGTAGTAACAGGGGTAGTAGCTGTAACAGTGGTAGTAGTAGTAAAAGTAGTAGCAGCAGCAGAGGCAACAGTAGTGGTGGCATTGGTTGTGGTAGTAGTAGTAGTAATAGTAGTATTAGTAATAGTTGTTGTAAATGCAACTGTGGTGGTTACTAAAGTAGCAGTTGTTGTGGAAACAGTACATGTTTTAGCAGAAGAAGTAGTAGGTGTAGCATCAGTAGCAGCAGCAGTAGTGGTAGCAGTGGTGCTGAAACGAACAAGCAATGAAATGGGAAACAAATGGAATCAAGAAATGAGGAGTCCAAGAGAAACGCTCAAATGAATGTTGATAAGTGAGCTCGAAGGTGCCAGAGTGAATTTGATCCACAATATGGAAAACATTTTCCTGGAGACAACAGAATAGAGAAATGGACTGTGAGTCGTATGTGATATTGTTACTGGTACCATCGGAAGTTTAACTCTTCACTTGCTGCTGAAGATAGAGACAGAGCACTTTTGAGGATGTCCTGAGTGCTGTGATGTTGATTCTTAATTCCACATTCAACAACATTCATTCATATGTGATGTACAAATAGTACAACAGGATTAATAAATAATAACAATTTTAACAACATTAACAAATAACTACATGTGTAATGAGCTGTCCGCCCGTGTGTCCCCGGGGCCCTCACGGGAAGCAATGAGCTGTCCGCCCGTGTATCCCCGGGGCCCTCACGGGAAGCAATGAGCTGTCCGCCCGTGTATCCCCGGGGCCCTCACGGGAAGCAAAGAATAGGGACACTGCACCCTACCAGGCATGTCGTTAGAGGCGACTAAGGGTAGGGTTGGGCTTGAGGTTGGCTACCTCATCCTGTAAAAACCATAGCCACAAAAACCAACCAACCATGGATAAGTCAAAAAGAGAAGCAAGTAAAATCCAGCCAACCAAGATGAGGGGAGGCTCTTCAAGTAGAAGAAGTATGACATGGTGCGGAGAAAGCCGTACGGAGTCCAGATCATTGACATACCTCCTCTCAGCTAGGAAAACCTCCAGAATTGGCACCTGGAATGTTAGAACTCTCTATGATATAGGGAGAACAATGGAAGTAGCAAAGGAAATGAAACATTTTAGAATTAGTATTTTAGGGTTCCAGTGGACCAAGAGGTGAGGAAAAGATGCTGGCATTGGATAGGACACACAGAGAGAAAACAGGAGAACAGCATAACTAGAATGTCTTTGCATTGGAACCCACGAGGGGCATAGGAATAAAGGAAGGCCAAAAAACACATGGAGAAGAGAGCTGGTGAATGAGGTTAGAAAGATGGGGATTACATGGGAAGAGCTCCATGCAATGGCGAAGAAAAGAATGACTTGGCATGAGTTAGTTGAGGGTCTATGCTCCATTGGGGGATAGAAAGGCAGAAAAAGAAGAAGAAGAAGAAGAAGAAGCTGTCTTCATAAGAAGGGAATAGTTATGAATATAGGAGCATCAGAGAGAAAGTTGGAATAAGACCATGTCTAAATTATACTGAGAGACAAAGAACGAAATGGTTCTGCCATCTAATGAGAATGCAGCCAGACCAAACTGTATATGAGACTTTTTACAGCAGAATATCTGGAAGGAAAGCCAGAGGAAGTCAAAATAAGAGGTGGATAAATGGCAAATCTGAAACCTGTAGAAAGATGAACAAATCCACTACACATCCAAGCCGCCTGAGAAGCACAAGACAAATCCAGAAAACTACAACACTGAGGCGACAAAACAATAACAACAACTACAGATCGTAAATGTGAACTTACCGGAATGCCTGTCAAACCAGGCAGGCCTGCAGGTCCATCTCTCCCAGGGTCACCCTTTTCACCAAGCAGACCTGGCAGACCGCGATCACCTGGCAACCCAGGCAGCCCGTCCCTGCCAGGGCCTCCTTTCTCTCCTTTAACACCAGGCAAGCATAGTGGACAAGGTCCTAAATAGTCACCTAAATGCAGAAGGTAAAATACTAGATACTGCTGTCAGCCTCTCAAGAAATAACAATCAGGGTACTTGTAATACCATGATTCCCCAAAAATAAGACCTAACCCAAAAGTTAGACCTACCCCAAAAATAAGACCTACCCCAAAAAAAGACTTACTCCAAAAAAAAAGCCCTTGGAGGATTTTTCAGGATGCTCATAATATAAGCCTTTTGGGAACGAGCGAAGAGTGAGGATGCACAAATTAGATCATTACAGTCTGAGGAGAATGGCGCTGCGAGGAGTTACCAGGGGATATGGCCGACGCTTAACACTCAGGAGGAAGCACGAGACGTATATACAATCAAAGGGCTACTAGTTCCTTCAGAATTGGAACTCTTTTCTTGCTGCTGAAGATGGGGACAGAACAAGAGAAGTGTCCCTAGTACTGTAATGTTGGTTCTTAATTCAACATTTATAATATAATCCTGCCCCTAAACGTAAGCCCTAGTTAGGATTGTCAGCCACATCAGCGGCCGGGTTGCCAACTGGTTCACTGGCAAATGACTTTGTCACCAGTTGCAACAGTATTTGTATGTCTCCAATGATTGCAGCAACACTGCACAAGTTTTTTTTTTTTTTTTCAGACTTCTTGAGGTGGGGCAATGCCATTTTATATGGCCCTTATAACCTGGTCACAATTATAACCTAAAGCTTACCCCTCATGGATGCTGGCTGAACATGACGATTGCAAAGCCAGCCAGCTCTCAGTTCACAGATCAAATTTGTTCGATTAGGTAAAGAGTTTAATCATTAATTTTAATTAATATAATTTTTTTCTGTGCCCTGATAATCTGATACTCTGTGACTTAAAAAGCCACTTTTTAAATGCCAGTTTAACAGCAGTAAATTCCAGTCACCCTGTTAAACTGTGCAAATGTACATATACTGGGACACTTTATGGCTACCTGAGGTAACCTACTGTCCTGCGGTGATGGGATGGTTTAATTACAAAAATTTTTTTATCAAGTTATCTGTGAAATTAACTATACGCCCCAAGAAGCCACAAAATCACAAACCAACACTTCTGTTTGGGTAAAATTCCTCAACAATAAAAAAAAAAGCGGGGGGAAAGGGGGGGGGGGGGGGGGGGGGGGGGTAAAAGGAGGATTGGGGGGGGGGGGAAGTCTTGCAAACCAAACAGTTTTTTCAAAGTGATGATGATGTTACATTTTTCTGTAGCCTTAATGATGGAGGTCATGGGGTCATAGCATTAGTCATCAGCTACACATTTTTTTTCCAGGCCTTTTTCAAACCATTCCATTTAATGCTTTACTGTTCATGTTTACTTATTACTCCCTTTAAAAATATTTACAAATTAAAAAAAAGGTAAATTAATTTATTTTTTGTTTGTTTTTGTTTTTAAAAATTTTTAAGAACCTGAATAAAATAGTTATTTTTAATGTAATCAACATTGTTTTTTAAATTTTCATGGATTCATGACCTATTATTTAGTGTTACCAGGGTGACAGGGTGTAGAGAACTTAAAACTGAGCACCTAAAAGAATATTTTTAAAAGTTAAAGACCTTATTTTTTTTAAATATCTGAGGCACATAGGGCATATCATGCTAGACTCATGTTCTTACAGGCTGAGTGGCAATCGGTGGACGATGTGGTCGACATTACAACAGCCCTATTTACTTTCCAGAACATTACATGGCACCCATTTTTGGCTGGGTCAGCATCAGAGGCATGTCAGTTTTGAAACAAATATGTCTCAGTGTTGTGGTTTCTGAGACGAATGTTACTAATACCTTGGAAGAGAAGAGTAGCTAACAATGATTGCTTGAAAGAAGCTAATGAAAGTAGATCTCTATATAAAACAATAAGAAAGAGACAAACACTGTTCTTTGGCCACATGATGAGAAGAGAGACATTGGAGAACATCCTGACAATTGGAAAGATCAGTGGAAAAAAGGGGTAGAGGCAGACCAAGAGAGATGATGCTGGATGGGCTGAAACCATGGCATGGAGGGATATCATCAAGAGAGCTGTTCCAGGCAACCAGGGATCATGATCTATGGAGACGCATGAGTGCCTACGCAAGTTGACAAGGGCACATGATGATGTTGTCTCAGTGTGGATTCAAACTCAAGACCTTCGGGTTAACCGACTATCTATTTACTTCCCCCCCCCCCCCCCCCCCTTCAAAAAAAAACAACTCCCTACTGGCCTTACTGTACCACTGTTTAGTGCACTGTATTATAAGGGGAACATGGAGCCTGAAAATCTAGTCAATCAGTCTCTCCTCCTCCTTAGTATTCCTCGGCTGTAAACTCTCGTTAAAAATTCTGGATGTTTGTCCACTTCTGGACTTTGGTCTTGTTCCAAAACTTGAGTTGTGTATGTATATCTGTTTTGCAAATCTTGCAGATATGCATGCAAACTGTTGGATCCTTTCAGATGCACTCTGATTTCTAAAGAAACTCCTGATTTAGTCGCACAAAAAACTGCTGAGACATTCTTTTAACATTTGCAGTCCCAGAAAATCATATTATTCAATCAACCAATGAGATGAAGTTTGGCCCCAATTAAATCGCCAAAATGCTCTGACCATTGCATTGGTTGTTGGTTGTACACCCTCTGAGACCGCTGTTTACCCTTCTCTTGGTGTTATCCTGCCAGCTGTGTCTAAGACTTGCTCACTTGCCTTCAACTTTTTCCTCCAGTGTGATTTTTGTAAGTGTCTCAATTTTTAGGGCGTTATTTCCTTCAGCAACACACTGTTCATTCTCAGTCTTTTCAGAGCCTTTGTAACTTTTTTTTAAAATGACCTATGACTTTTGGTACCTGACCTTTGTTACTTAAGCTCACTCTGTCTTAATCAGTTGACCTTTAAATTAATAAATTTGAATAATGCAGACACAAACAATACATTGCATAATTTATTGCCAGGCATATTTCGCTGTATCTCATTAGGTGCCTTACTACAGAGTTACATTAAAATAAAACGAAAGCACAAAACAATAAATTCAACTGAAATGCAAATAGTTTCTTTTGACACATCGTGTGCGTTTTGGTCGCCGGAAGCTCACCGTAGTTATGGGACTTACCAGGGTAACTTAGAATTTACTTTAAATTCTGTCTGCTTACAAAGGAGGGGGTTGTTGATTTTAATTGTTAAAGCTTCGCCCATTCTCAACAGTCGCCTCTACAGAGTGTGGTAAACCACACGGAAAGCACTGTCTGTGTCTTTTACGTGTCTGGAATTAAGTAGATGACGTCCTTTCCAAATTATTAAATGTTGTGCCAGGCAAAGACTGAATAATAACCCTACTGAACAGAGTAACAAGTGAGATTCAGTTGGATGAAACACACCATGTAAGGACACATTTGGTTAGTTGACAAATAAAGAGTCAAGGAGTTAAAGACTTACCCTTGGGTCCTGGCAGGCCAGGGCGTCCTTCACGACCCGGCAGACCATTAAATCCTTTATAACCTTTGTTGCCCTTTTCTCCCGGAGGTCCGGGAAATCCTCTTGTTGAATTACCTGGCACGCCAGGGAAACCAACAGGGCCAGGTTCTCCTTTGCTGCCAGGGATGCCGTCAATGCCATCCAGGCCTGGGGGACCTCTGGGGCCTGGAATCGACAAGCCTGGTTCTCCCTTAATGCCGATGTCTCCTATCGTTCCTTGTCTCCCTGGTAGGCCAGGGCGGCCATCCACTCCAGGTAATCCTAAAATTAAATTTTTAAAAGTTTTATTCAGCTTTTGTGTTACTAAGCACTTTGCCCAAAGTTTTATAGATCAAAAGTAGGGTAAAGTTGGGAGATGTGAGCCATAAGTGCTCTGCCACCAGTACAGACAACTGATAAGAAACCGTCTGCCTGTGTCATCATCCACATGAAACTCTGTAGCTACAGCGACGTTCCTTCACTTACCACAGTGCGTTAACTCTGTTACCCATTTTCTAGAGGCTAGGTGAACCCCGGTTTCGAATACCAGCTGTGGGCTGCAGCGAGTTGCAGCTGGATTTGAAAGCGAGTCTCCTATCACTGCACTAATGTTGCCCCTAGTTTTATAGATTCAGCACTCAATGGATTATGTCCTCAAAATCACACTGGCTACCTTCACTTCTGGTGGCATCTTCTGGTACCACCTCAGTCTAGGTGAACTGGGAACCCAAGTAAATTTTTGAATGGATGGAGATTCAAACTAATGACTGCTGGGCCAGTAGGCAAGAGTTTTGACCCCTAACACGAAAAGTAAGAAAAGTAAGAAAGCTTTCTCACACCACTGGCACTTGGGCATATGGTGCGATACCAATATTTCCAATCAGACTTTACTTCACAGGATATTTCCTGGTACCAATTTCCTGGTACCCAGGAGCCAGTTTCAATTTTAAAATTCTGCTATTTCAGTAGACTATGACAATAATGTAAACTTTGTCATCCTTTTCTTAGTGTTTACCGGTTGTAAATTCTGCTGAAAGGTTCTGGCTGTTCATCAACTTCTGGATGTTGGTCTTGTTCCAGAACTTGAGTATTGTGTGCTGAGACATTTCCCAGATCTGGTTTATTTGTATGCAGACCACTGGTTCACCGACTCTCTCAGGCAGAGGTACTCTGACTTTGAACAGAACACCCCTAATTAGCCGCATTTTGTGACATGCCTGTGGAGGAAGAGAGGCATTGGATCTATCCCCCCCCCCTCCCCTCCACCACCACCAAGGGCCCCAAGCGTGGATTAATATAAACCCAGAGGAAAAACTATCTACTCACCATCAAAGCCACGGTCTCCTTTGTCGCCTTTAGGGCCATCGCGACCATCAGCCCCTGGGGGTCCAGCAATACCTGGAACACCTGTTGGTCCAATGTCACCTCTGTCTCCTCTAACACCAGGCAGACCAGGCTCCCCATCTATGCCAGGAAGACCCCGCTCTCCTCTGGATCCTTTAGGTCCTGGCAAGCCAATAAATCCTTTTCCCTATTATCAGAAAGCATACGGTTAAATTCTGTCCCAAGTAAGGAACCATGAGGGCCTGTGCTCCAATGGGGTAAAGGTGAGGGGGCTGGGGAGATTAGAAGGCAGAAGAAGAAGAATGTTCCATGTATGCTCAGCTTATGTCCACATGTATCAAAGCAGCACACTAAGTGTTATTATTTTGTCATGTTTGGCCTGTGTGTGCTAAAGAAATATGGCCATATATTTTTAATACATACAGCGTACACTGTATCTTTAGAAGCCAAGGCTTTCAAAGCCTACTGTGATTACTGTACCAAACATGGCTGCTGCTGTAAAACCATCTGGAACTGAAAGTGATCAGGAAAGAAACAGTTTGAATGTTTCAGTCTTAATGTTAGATTAGAGCAGTGGCTCTCAACCTTCCAAATACCGTGACCCTAAAATACAGTTCCTCATATTGTGGTGACCTCCAACCATAATATTATTTTCGTTGCTACTTCATAACTTTAGTGAATATGTGTTTTACAATGGTCTTAGGTGACCCTAGTAAAATGGTCGTTTGAGAACAGCTGGATGAGAGGTTGAACAAGTATCAGAAACTGATGTTCCAGGGTCCGATCTGAAGTTCTCCCAATGCTTACAAATGTGTGCATAGATGAAAAATGAGGACTGAAAGCAAAATGGCCTTCAGACAGAACTGCCTTCTAGACTGCCTCTACAGAAACTGTCAATTATTTCTAGTTTCAAGTGCAGATGTTTCATTGTCTCGACTGGTCTTGAGTCAACTTGGCTAGAAGTGTGGATCTCACAAGTGCAGATGTTTCATTGTCTAGACTGGTCTTGAGTCAACTTGGCTAGAAGTGTGGATCTCACAAGTGCAGATGTTTCATTGTCTAGACTGGTCTTGAGTCAACTTGGCTAGAACTGTGGATCTCACAAGTGGTACTGCAGCCAGAAGCTGAACCCAGAACAATAGATAAGTTTCCATTTGCACCACTTGGCCAATCATCATAACCTTCACAAGTCACATGATTAATATATTTGCTTCAATTCTAATGCAATAGATTTTCTTTTTATGAATGTAACTGTAGAGTTTTTGTTTCATTCTAAATAGTTTCACTAGTTTTTGTCAGTTACAATGCTAAATGTTGAATTAAGAATCGACTTCCCAGCACTCGGGACACCCACATAAGCGCGCCGTCTCCATCTTCAGCAGCAAGCGAAGAGTTAAATTTACGACAGTTCCAGTAAATCTTGTCAGTTTCAGTTAGTGAACACTTTTAAATGATAAATAAACAAACCATGCCGGTCTCTGTGGCTTAGGTGCTGGTGAATGCACTTTGTAGAGCCATTGTGATGGGTTTGATCCCAACTTTATCTGATTTGGCAGCAGACCCTCTTTCATTGATTTTGACAGTTGTATTGACAGCGGCCCATTTAGAAAACATTGGCAAACTATTGAGCATATGTCTGAATTTTTAAAAATCACAAACACCAAAACAAATGCTGAAGTTGTTTTTGCAACATTTTGTAAAGGATATAAACCAAAAACCTAACTTAAGAAGTTTTAGTGTGAGTTTTAGTGTGAGCAACCACCAAAAACCTAACTTAGGGAGTTTTAGTGTGAGCAACCACCAAAAACCTAACTTAGGGAATTTTAGTGTGAGCAACCACCAAAAACCTAACTGAGGGAGTTTTAGTGTGAGCAACCACCAAAAACCTAACTTAGGGAGTTTTAGTGTGAGCAACCACCAAAAACCTAACTGAGGGAGTTTTAGTGTGAGCAACCACCAAAAACCTAACTGAGGGAGTTTTAGTGTGAGTTTTAGTGTGAGCAACCACCAAAAACCTAACTGAGGGAGTTTTAGTGTGAGCAACCACCAAAAACCTAACTTAGGGAGTTTTAGTGTGAGCAACCACCAAAAACCTAACTTAGGGAGTTTTAGTGTGAGTAACCACCAAAAACCTAACTGAGGGAGTTTTAGTGTGAGTTTTAGTGTGAGCAACCACCAAAAACCTAACTGAGGGAGTTTTAGTGTGAGCAACCACCAAAAACCTAACTGAGGGAGTTTTAGTGTGGCAACCACCAAAAACCTAACTTAGGGAGTTTTAGTGTGAGCAACCACCAAAAACCTAACTTAGGGAGTTTTAGTGTGAGCAACCACCAAAAACCTAACTTAGGGAGTTTTAGTGTGAGCAACCACCAAAAACCTAACTTAGGGAGTTTTAGTGTGGGCAACCACCAAAAACCTAACTGAGGGAGTTTTAGTGTGAGCAACCACCAAAAACCTAACTGAGGGAGTTTTAGTGTGAGCAACCACCAAAAACCTAACTGATGGAGTTTTAGTGTGAGCAACCACCAAAAACCTAACTGAGGGAGTTTTAGTGTGAGCAACCACCAAAAACCTAACTTAGGGAGTTTTAGTGTGGGCAACCACCAAAAACCTAACTTAGGGAGTTTTAGTGTGGGCAACCACCAAAAACCTAACTTAGGGAGTTTTAGTGTGGCAACCACCAAAAACCTAACTGAGGGAGTTTTAGTGTGGGCAACCACCAAAAACCTAACTTAGGGAGTTTTAGTGTGGCAACCACCAAAAACCTAACTTAGGGAGTTTTAGTGTGAGCAACCACCAAAAACCTAACTTAGGGAGTTTTAGTGTGAGTTTTAGTGTGAGCAACCACCAAAAACCTAACTTAGGGAGTTTTAGTGTGGGCAACCACCAAAAACCTAACTTAGGGAGTTTTAGTGTGGCAACCACCAAAAACCTAACTTAGGGAGTTTTAGTGTGAGCAACCACCAAAAACCTAACTTAGGGAGTTTTAGTGTGAGTTTTAGTGTGAGCAACCACCAAAAACCTAACTTAGGGAGTTTTAGTGTGAGCAACCACCAAAAACCTAACTTAGGGAGTTTTAGTGTGAGCAACCACCAAAAACCGAACTTAGGGAGTTTTAGTGAGAGCAACCACCAAAAACCTCAGCTTTAATCAGGACGTCTGGGAGTTCTGTTCTTTTTGTGCTGAGATCCACTGGTTGTGATTCTTTAGGTGAACTGTCAGCTTTTGACATATATTTTCTGTCTTAAAATCTTAACCAGCCTCTTTGGCAGTAGAAGTGAACCTCATGACAACAGTATTTTCTATGTCAGTCATTATCTGTCTTTCACAAAACTGAGAAAGAATTAAATTTTACTATCTTCTGTAGATTTAACATAGAGCATTCGCTGAACCAAAGAGACTGCCTGTGAGCAGTCATTAAAACAAAGTGACCGCCCACAACAAGGAGAAAATATAAGAGGAACACTGATAACAGAAAATATTAAAGAACACATTACCCGGAAATTTCAAACAATACTTAACCATTAGATATTAAAGAAACCCACATAAAGAAATAAAAAAGATACATATGATTAAGTTCATCCCTGTGTAGATCCTAGGGCCCTATTATAGGGAAAACAAGAATAGACTGAATGCCTACCCAAAAGCATGCCGTAAGAGTCGACTAATTGGGAGCTTCCTTCAAAATCAGAGTGTATCTGCCTGAGAGGCAATGAACTAGCAGTCTGCAAACAAATGAGTCAGATCTGTAAAACTGATGCACACACAACACACAGATTCTGAAACAGGACTCTAGTCCAGAAGTGGACAAACAACCAGAACTTTCCACCAGAGTGTACAGCTGGTGAACGCGAAGAAGAAGAAAATTCAGTTCTTAAAATACTTACACCAGGATATCCGGCAGGACCCGGCGGTCCAGCAGGCCCATCACGACCAGGAAAACCTCTATCGCCCTTCATTCCAAACAACCCTGGAATGCCAGGAATACCGTCCAAGCCACGATCTCCCTGAAAGATTATGTTCATAAGGTCAGGTTTTGAAAATGTGTTCACGGCCACATGAATACCCCTATCCAAGCTGGTGCGGATGGGGAGATGGCAAACATTAACCAAACATTAACATTTCACTAAGGCAATAAGAGATTTTTATTAACAACGAAAAGATATAATCACTAATGTTATGCTCGTGGAGTTACTTAGGAGAAAGGAGCTCCCATGAATCTGACCTAAATGCTGTGATGATAGTCCAAACTAATCACTAATCAAGCCCACATGAAAAACTATCATTACTTTGAGAGTTTTAACTTCACATTTTTTTCTTCTTCTTCTGCATTCAACATCAGTCACGCTAAACATTGAGTGCCGTTTGGGTCACAAATAGGATTGTGCGTTTAAGGTCGCCACCGGTCCCCCATATCTTCTCTCGCAATGTGGATCCCCTGGGCCAGATCCACAGTCTTTGCTGGGAGAAGTAAGGGCAGTACTGCAGTAGGTGCTCAGGGGTCTGTCTTTCTGCTCCACAATCACAGGCAGCAGATTCTTTTATGCCTATCCTGTACAGGTGTGCTCGAAGACCAGTGTTCAGTCCAAAGTCTAAAAATTGATGTTTGTTCTTTCCTGTTGAGTTTGTTTATGCTGTCACTCTCTGGTCTGTAATCTCCATTCTGCCTTCTCCACTCCCGCTTGAAAGACTGCTTCAGCGCTGTTTTGGTTTCCTTGTAGATGTGTGGTGGATGAGGTTGTGGAAGATTACTCCCAGCTTTTGCCAACATCTGCTCTCTCATTTCCTTGAATACCACACTGGGCTGGTATCCACTGCAAGACCAGTTCTGCTTCTTCTGAGAAACTTCACAAGGAAGGATGTGTCTTAACTTTGCTTAATAAGCAAATATATGGTGAACTGCCTTATACCTTAACTTAATTCTGAGGTAAAAGAGTGTTTACTTCTCCAAACACTAAACATTTTCCTTAACTTTTTTAGCCAAATCCAGTTGTTATGCTAACATACTCTGATCCACTTGTTATTTTCTTCTTCTTCTTCTTTGTGTAGACAGGCTGTATCTCATCAAGTACGTAACTACAGAGTTACATCAATGAAGCACACACAAACTATAAATTCCCTCAAAAAGTATAAATTCCAGCCAACATATGAATGATTTCTCTAGATGCATCATGTTTGTCTAGTTGCCAGACGTTCACTACCATCATATAACATACCAGGAAAGCTTAAAATTTATCATAAATTCTTTCTGCTTACATAGGAGGGGGTAGTTAATTTTTATTGTTAAGGCTTCGCCACTTTCAGCATTTGCTTGTTCTGTGCTGGTAAATAATATCTGCCAGGTAATAAAGAAGTTAATGAGGTAATACTAAAATCGTCATCATCATGTGCCCTACCAACTGGCATAGGCGCTCATGCATCTCAACAGATCATGATCCCTGGTTGTCTGTAACAGCTCTCTTGATGATATCCCTCCATGCCATCGTTTCCAGCATCTCTCTTGGTCTGCCTATACCTCCTTTTCCATTGATCTTTCCAGTTCACGATGTTCTCCAATGTCTCTCTTCTCATTATGTGGACAAAAAACTGTGTTTGTCTCTTTCTTATTGTTGTATATAGAGATTTACTTTCATAAGCTTCTTTCAAGCAATTGTAGTTAGTTACTCTGGCTGTCCAAGGTATTCGTAACATTCATCTCAGAAACCACATCTCTGTTGCTTCAAAATTCTTCCTAATTTGTTCACTGACATTCCAAGATTCGCTGCCATACAGCAGAACAGGTTCTATGTAACATTGTAGCACCCTCTTTATATTAAACTAAATACTGACTAGAATACTAGACTAAACTACTAATTCATCATCATCAGGTGTCTTGCCGACTGGCATGGGCGATCATGCCTCTCCATAATCCACCATCTCCTGCAGCATGTATCAGTTCGTGTGCCGACACACCTCCATGCCATGCAGCAAGACTGTCAAGAATCTTCTCTCATTGTCTTCCTCTATCATTCCTTCCACAGATCTTTCCAGTGGTCACAACATGTTCTATTTTTCCTCATCTCATAACATGGCCGAGAAATGATGATTGTCTTCTTCTAATGTCTGTGATAGGTTGTCTCCGGGCTCCCGCCTCTTTCAAAACCGCTTGGCTGCTCTTTTTGGCTGTCCAAGGTATTCTAAGCATTCTTCTGTAAAACCACATCTCTGAGGCCTCAAGAAATTGTTTGGCCTGTCTACTGATTGTCCAGGATTCACAGCCACATGTTAAAACTGGATGTATGTAGCAAGCAAGAATTTATTTTGTAACTCTCAATGACAAGAATATATTGCATAAGATATTCTTTATTTTATTAAATGCAGTTTGTGCCTGTCCCAAACTACTAATTATTAAATGTAGTTTCTAGAGATTAATCATCTTACCTTTGGTCCTGGAAGCCCAGGCAGTCCGGGGAAACCTTGCTTGCCCTGGAGAAAACATTCCCAACATCCATATGTTATTGTAATAATGAAAAAATAAACAGAACTCCATGTTGGATGCTGCCCTCTTCTTCTTCAATATGTATTTTGTTCAATGAACATAACATACTTTACAGATAGAATATAATTGCTGTGTGAAAGATTACTGATTGGAAGATTACTGATTGGGAGATTACTGATTGGAAGGACCACCTGTCAAACGGGCCTGCATGCCCAATAGGTGACCCTTTGAAAATAATGTTTGTTTTTTCACTTGTTCATTCTTCTTATTCTTCCATTTCTTCTTCCTGTTCTTCTTCTTCTACCACTTCTTCTGCTTCCAATTCCACTTCTTCATCATCTTCTTTTACTTTTTTATTCTTCTTTCATTACTTCTTATAGCATTTCATTTTTCTTTTTTTTTTCTCTCCAATCTTTTGTTATCCAGCTTCACTTTTTTTTCTGTCTTTCACATTCAAATCAATTGTAGGCTTTCAGCCAATTCACACCAACCATTTTGTAGCATGCTCCTGATTAAAAAAGGCTGCAGCCAGTTTGTTACAAGATGTGGTAGACAGTCATACACCAGCTCTTTTCTCTTCAATGGTGGGGTATACATGTAGTAACAAGTAAAAAAAAAATGAAAGGACCCTTTTCCACACCTTCAGGCGTACAGGGCATATAGGGCTAGACCTACATTTTATAGACCCATCGGCACAAGATGGCTGATGTGGTTAACATCATGCCCGCCGCCTTTACTTCCCAGGACCGCACCCGGTACCCACTCAAAGCCGGATCAACCTGGAAGCCAAGGTCTCTATTAAAAAAAGTTCGGCTCCTCCGGGGAGTGAACTCACGACCATCCGATCCACAGCGAGTGTCTACCTGCTCCGCCACGGCGACTCCCCGTAGATGTTAACAGCTGTAAAATGATTTATATTGCAAAAGAAACATGCATTATTTTACTATTTATTATTCAAGTCTACTTAAATAGAATAATTAAATCAACCAGAAAGCTACAAAAACCGGCACAAGAAGATTACCATTTTATTGACAGACCAGAGAAAATCATTATTCTACACCTTAGAACAGTTCACTATTGGTTCACCAGCCTACTTTTAGTAAACACTGCTGGCCCTAGTTAGATGTAGGCTCACCTGTCTTCTTGTAATGAGCACTGCTAGCCCAAGTTCATTGCTGGTTCACCAGTCTTCCTGTAGTGAGCACTGCTTGCCACAGTTCAATGCTGGTCCACCCGTCTTCTTGTAGTGAGCACTGCTTGCCCCAGTTCAAAGCTGGTCCACCAGTCTTCTTGTAGTGAGCACTGCTTGCCACAGTTCAATGTTCATTCACCAGTCTTCTTGTAGTGAGCACTGCTTGCCCCAGTTCAATGTTCATTCACCAGTCTTCTTGTAGTGAGCACTGCTTGCCCCAGTTCAATGCTGGTCCACCAGTCTTCTTGTAGTGAGCACTGCTTGCCACAGTTCAATGTTCATTCACCAGTCTTCTTGTAGTGAGCACTGCTTGCCCCAGTTCAATGCTGGTCCACCAGTCTTCTTGTAGTGAGCACTGCTTGCCCCAGTTCAATGCTGGTCCACCAGTCTTCCTGTAGTGAGCACTGCTTGCCACAGTTCAATGCTGGTCCACCAGTCTTCTTGTAGTGAGCACTGCTTGCCCCAGTTCATTGCTGGTTCACCAGTCTTCTTGTAGTGAGCACTGCTTGCCACAGTTCAATGTTCATTCACCAGTCTTCTTGTAGTGAGCACTGCTTGCCCCAGTTCAATGCTGGTCCACCAGTCTTCTTGTAGTGAGCACTGCTTGCCCCAGTTCAATGCTGGTCCACCAGTCTTCCTGTAGTGAGCACTGCTTGCCACAGTTCAATGCTGGTCCACCAGTCTTCTTGTAGTGAGCACTGCTTGCCCCAGTTCATTGCTGGTTCACCAGTCTTCTTGTAGTGAGCACTGCTTGCCACAGTTCAATGTTCATTCACCAGTCTTCTTGTAGTGAGCACTGCTTGCCCCAGTTCAATGCTGGTCCACCAGTCTTCTTGTAGTGAGCACTGCTTGCCCCAGTTCATTGCTGGTCCACCAGTCTTCCTGTAGTGAGCACTGCTTGCCACAGTTCAATGCTGGTCCACCAGTCTTCTTGTAGTGAGCACTGCTTGCCCCAGTTCATTGCTGGTTCACCAGCCTTCTTGAGGTGAGCACTGCTTGCCCCAGTTCATTGTTGGTTCACCAGCCTTCTTGAGGTGAGCACTGCTTGCCCCAGTTCATTGCTGGTTCACCAATCTTCTTGTAGTGAGCACTGCTCCCCCAAGCTTGATGTTCATTCACCAGCCTTCTTGTAGTGAGCACTGTTACATGCGCTTTAATTATTCTGAAGCTGTTACGCACGCTTTAATTTTACCTGAAGCCGTTATGTGCACTTTAATTATAGCTGAAGCTGTTATGTGCACTTTAATTATAGCTGAAGCCATTATGCGCACTTTAATTATAGCTGAAGCCGTTATGTGCACTTTAATTATAACTGAAGCCGTTATGTGCACTTTAAT